GCTATTTACCCAATTTAATATATATTTAAAAAGATTAAATACCTACTAGGTACTTACAATAAAGCTTTGTGATATTTATGTCTGTAATAATTTGTGTGTTTTAAGAACTTGAGACTAAAAAGGGGGGTCCCACGTTCGTTATCAAGTATTACTCGCTTAAAAGAGAACATACTTACAAATTCTATGTAAATAATCCATAAATAACGTCGAACAGTAAAATAACGTTATCGCGGAAATGGGCACGTCAAGACTCGCATGTATCAGCATTATGTATTAGGCGGGAGGGAGCGATGAGCAAACGCACACGTAACCGAACGAACGAAAGTGGGCAGGGTTAGGCCGGATGTATGTCTGCCAGCCTTTGACTAACGAACTTTTATTTTAGCGATCAAATAAAAAACGAAAGGTCTCAAATTAAAAAAAAAACAATTAGCATGCTTATTAAAGTTGAAATCGTGCTTAAGATACTGCTGCGTTGAAGTCTAGCTGAATCGCCCGGCAGTTCACGTAATATAACATTGCAATCATAAAAAAAAACGTCAACCAAGACTCGAGATTGGTAAAGTGTTTTGACACTGGAATGGAAATTAACAAAACTAGGTAGATTGGAAATGAGGAAATCCTTTTTACTGGACTTGACGAAATCAGGCAAATTACCTGACCGCATCTTAGCTACAATTTTCTTACATTTTTATTGACATTAATGTCTACAATTGGATATTTACAACGTACAAAGGAAAACATATTATAAAACAGAATTAATCTGGAGGTCATTTTTCAAGAAGAAGTGTAGATAGGCAGGCAAATATATAATCCCTAATGTGGAATATTGAAATTACTTCTTCAATTATTCTTAATAGGGGTAAATTTGTAAATTATCAATAAGTCCAGGAAAGCGATCTGTTTACGTATTCTCTTGGCTAAAAGTGTATCACAATGTCTATGAAGGATAATTTAGGGAGTGCTTATTTTCAGTATTCCATATTTGACTACTTTTCTCTACCTATAAAACCAACAATTCTATTGTCTTTGTAAGGTAGCGTAGACCAAAGATTTCTAGTATTATATCTTTGGCTAGACCGATTTGATAATAATCATCGATGACTGAGTTTAGTGTCATGGCGTCAAGTAATTTGCACACAATACCATATGACCAGTGTGAAAAATGCACGATGAAGCAATTCAAGCACGCAGACTGTGATTGTAATGTTTTTGCTTTCTCACAGAGTCGAAACAGAGGAAAACTTTTTACCAGAAATGTTAGTATTACGAAAACTGATAGATTTTACTTTTTTTCTATTTATACCTTTTTTCGCCACTGACAGAGGTACTGATATATGGATCCTTCATCATTTTAGTGAATCGAATGAACGAATCGAAGCGAACTACCGTGAATGGAAGCACGATATATGTACATAACTGGGTTACTACCTATCTTGCTCCTATCAGAGCTAAGCGAATAGTCCCAGCTACATCTGCAGTAGTTAAGATCCACTTACTCTGGATCTATGCTGATATCTTCCTATGTGGTTCAATTCATAGGCAAGGCCTGTCTCTATAATGAGAACGTATGTAAATAGGAGCTGATAGGTAATAAATATGTCTAAGAACGTACAGTGGTACGATAGCGTAGTACTTAGCTTAAAAGTTGATTGCACATTTTTGAACCGGCGACTTTTGAAAGAATAATGGTACCTCTATATTAATTGCATCTGAATGAGTTTTTCATAATCTTACGCAATGGTAATTCGCAGTGGTAGACTAACAATACTAATTTTTATACCAAACATTCGATAGTGTAAGTACTCAAAGGTTTGTAAAAACTAATGACAATGTCACGACATAGATTATAGTGGTCCTTGCGGCATCACGTAAATTTATAATAATAAACAAATACTATAACATCATATTATAGTATCATAGTCAAGGCTTCTTTAGGTTATTAATTAAATAAATAGATATTATTCGCGCCGGATTTCAATGGCATTTTCTTGAATAATTAGCTTTTGAGATAAGTATTATATACATCGCCGTCGAACATATAACCATAATATATAAGTTAAAATGGTTCGTATTTTCCGAACGTATAACAGAAACCTGTATTTTCACTTATAGGACACCGGCCTAAGCCCGATTTAACTAAATTGGATTATTGACGATTAGGCAAAATTATTTAATAAAGATCTTCTTCTTCGTACGGATCCCATGCCGATGGTCGGCAGTCAGTAAAGAGTAGATAATTGTTCTAATTGAGGCCAACTCAACTGTGAAACTGCCAAACGAATTACAACCGACACGCGACTACATAATATCTCTACTTATACAGGTTCTTCAGAATTCAGTTTCCTGATCTTTGCTCAAACGAGATAAGAAGTATGTAGTATACTTTCTTACAAGATGAAGCACAAACTATAAATGAGCTGAGTAGTTCACCATCTCCTAGGCCCGATTTCCGGTCGGGCCGATGTGCAAAATGGACTTTTCTATGTTGTTTTGGGTCTGCGCTTTGTGTACCATCGTTGTTTCAGATACTCCATAGTAGGGGAGCTTTAGTTACTCACTTTAGAAGCTAAGCAATATGTATGTGATATTGTATTATATTTATTTATTATTAAAACTTTTTATTGAGCAAACTCGATAGTTAGGAACAGTAGTTAGCGCGTCTCTCTACGATGTGGTAGTTAAGCAACAAACGTAAGGGTCGGTCTTAAGATGGATGACTACGAATTTCTTATCTCAAACTCCTCTGTGCTTCGGAAGGCAGGTAAGCCCGGTGGTCTCACCTATATTTGCAGTCGTTAATACCCACCAATCCCTAGTAGATCCACGTGGTGGGTTATGATGACCTTATTTGTTTTCATCCAAAAAGAAATTCTGTTCCCCAATAGTAGGGAAATTAATAGGCTGATGATGATATACTTATGTATTGTTTTAACATAATTATGAGTGTTTTTTTGCTTACATTAAAGGTTTTAATTTTATATTATAAATCATAATTTTTCCACTAGAAGCGGGCTGTAACATTATAGTGATATACTAGCCTTCCTCCAGCGGCTTTGCTCGCGTGGTCCCGTACTATTATACGTATAAACTTTTCTTTTTGGATCACTTTGAATATTGATGAAAATCGCATTAAAATCCATTCTGAAATTTAAAAGATCTCGGCATGCAGACTGCGAGTAGAATCTTTGTTTTATATATGTATAGACGTACAGTCGCAATTGCTAATATTTTTTTGTCTAAATAAACAGGCATGTGATACCATCATATTTTAGCATATTTAAGGCACACACAAAGCAAACTTATTGATACTCAATCAGCCGACAGTAAGACCAGGCTAAGCGTAAAGGCGTGAATTCAGAAGTGTCCTCTGTGCCTAGTAGAGCGTGGATAGGGCAATCAGAAACGCTATTAGAACTGTAGTATAACGCTATACCGTTTGCCACAGAGTGATAATCGATTACGTTTTCTGCAATGTGCAACAGCTTCAGAAAGTTTTGGAGGAGCATTGTGTTATAAAACAACCAATTTTCTGTTTGTAAACGAAAAGCTTTATGTTGACTGCAATAACTTGATAATTTTAAATTAGTAACGATTTACTATCATGAATTGAAACTGTATTTATGTAATTTGTATTTCATTTCTATTATTAATCAAGTCTAGGTTTTTCTATTTTAATACCATTAGTTTTGGGGCGTTTAATGCTTTGATTTATAATGTTTGGGTCTTTGTTGCTATGGAATTGGAAAGTGAAACTGTTTGTCAAACTATTCAAAGGTGTTAAATGTTATAAGATATTTATGATTCTTACACCGTAGGATTGGTATTTTAATTCTGAAATATCCATGTAATGTATTTCTGAGAATAAATATAAATAAAGGTTTTATTAAATTTGATACTTCACTATAACGATACATTGCGTACCTATTTGCATGATAAACTTGTATCTGTTGAATTGTTACTGAATTTAACATAACTGCAATTTGAGGAACAATAGAATTGTTTGGATCAACCTTTTCATTGGCATTTGTCGCAGTTAAATTATTGTAATCTAATCAGACACAGTTACCGGGATAATGTTTATTTAAATAAGTTGAATTACTTAACTTTTGACTTAATATTTATAGCAAACTTCGGTTCTAACCCTTTAGTACTATATAATCTAGCGGTAAAATATTGAAAATTAGAGTGAAATCAGTTTAACCATAAAAATTGATCGATAATACATTTTCATTTTTTAAGTTCTAACATGATTTGTTACCTAACTTCTAATAATATGCTTAATAAATAAATACAAGTACCTTTATCTCGCCGGTTCCTTTATGATCTTGCAGAGGGTTGCGAAGTAAACCCCCTCGACAAACCAGTGTCAATAAGAAAAAATTTTGAAAATCCGCAATTATAAAAACACACTAGCACAAAACACAAAATGTCACTGCATGTTCAATTTTTAACAAAAACAATAACAAGCAGGTTCGCGTTCGTATGTGCGTATTTATTCGATGTATGTAACGCGGCGGCGCGGTCGATACGCATGCGTTGTGCAGCGTGGCTGCCACACAATTGCCGCCAACAAGTCCTAAGCTAATCGCCGTTGGTGTCGCAAGTACAATGAAACGAATAAGCAGTAGAATAAATTCACGACAACGTAATGAAAAAAATGAATAAATAATTATTTTCTTTTAGTTAGTCGTATATGACTACATATTTCTATAAACGTAAAAACTATTGTAAAAATAACATTGCTCGTGGTTTCGATGTTTTGGCCCGTTATAATAATACTTAATTACAATAAAAAATTACATCATATAAGTTTATAGACTGCAATGTGCGTTACTAAATATTTTATTTGAATTATATAATTCAATTATAATATACCTCATAAAATGTAACTACATTAAATTTCTTTTTTTTTGTGACTAATATATTGTTTTTTCATTGTCAAAATTGATAAGTACATTATGCAACTTTGTAGCCAAGGCTTGAGTTATTGTAATGGTATCGTAATTTCTGTAATAATCTCGTATTCAAGAGAGACGCGAAGACGCGTTAGCACTCTTTAATCACAGGTCAATGACTATTTTTATTTTTTACAAATTTGATTATTCACTGGTTTCAAATTAATAAAAAAGTCAAATATATTTTTAGTTCCATAATCTACAGTATATTTTTTTAAATACGTGCCCTGCTTTGTATCGTTATATTCAATTAAAAGTAATGTTTCTTTACTGAATTATTGTTTTCACTACGATAACTTTGATTGGCATTTCAGTAGGATTTATAAAATAAACAAAAATTTGAAAAAAATGTTTTATTTATTGCATAATTACCTTGACATGACATCGAGGGGTTAACCTTAAACAAGTTGAATTACTTACAACATATTCTTCATTTAATTTTGTGATAGGCACCGTACTGTTTAATATGAAAATCAACTAAAAAACAATACATTTAACAATTTGTAAAGGTATACATTATACCCATACACTACACCACTACAAAACTGAAATTTTCAATCTAAATTTTTTTAATAACAACTACGTGTTTACTATATTATACATATATTTTTTTTACCTTTGGACAAAGTTTAAACACTACTTAAATAAATAATGTTCTTGGAACAAACAAAAAAACAGAAAAAAATAACTGATCTAACTTCAAACATGACAGTGAAATTAACTGTTTTTTAAATATCTAGAATAATAAAAAACTGGGCAATACGTTATACTGAATACATTATAATAATAATGTTTTTATTTCAATCATAAAGTTAATTTAAACCTTATCATAAACGGATAGGGGTCATTTTCCGTTTACTTTACTTGTGATTAATTATTATAGAGAATACATTTGAAAGTCTCAAATGCTAATTTTAACTTATATTTAGTTACATTTTTATTAGTTACATATATTTCACACATTCCAACATGTAATAAGAAGCGATCAAATTAACAAAACTCTTAATACTCAACCTACATACTAGCTTATTCTAAGTTCAGTCTGACCGAAATCATCGAATGGTGAGTTTTTAAAGTTCTTTCTGTGCGTGTTACTTATAAAACACTCGACGTTTATATATGTATAATTTCAATTAATCGATTATGAAATCGTACAGAAAAATAAAAAATAAAATAAGCATCATAGATTTATTGATATCCACCCTCTTGTTTTTTAATAACAATTTTTTTTTTATATTCTCTCTCATAACTAAGTTAGAAGGAGATAGAAGATTGTGATTATTCAAAAGATATGTATGCAGTATGCGTCAGATAATTAAAATAAATAACAATCACTTCAGTGTCATCGAGTGCTTTCAAACTAACTCTCACATTAGCGTGAAGCGATAACCCAATTCATGGCATTATCAATTTACTACTAGTTACTTATTCTACATTTACTATGGTACATGTAAATTTACTATAACAGTTTTACATACCCGTTTCTTAAAAACAAATGCGATGAAACACAAAAATATTCGAGATTATTAAATACTATTACAGTTATTGGAACAAAATTATTGGTTTATGGAATCCAATGCATCCAAGACGATATTTTATTTCAGAATATACTAGTTGTTCGCTTCGATTGACGGCTCCCACCCTCCCGTTTCATCGCAACGCATATACAGGCACACAGAAGCGGATTTGCAGGCTTGGCGACCTAGGCCGCATAGTATTAGCTCTCATAAATGAGGCACTGCATATGAATTTACTTTCTAAGCATTCTTTTTTAATTTATTTATTGACCACGTTTGCATCTAATTTTACAGGTGATACTTAATGCGATAGAGTAACTGAATTTATTGGAATAGATTAAAAAATTTAGTTGTGACTAATTTCAGAGTCTGTCTAAAATAAAAAAGTGAAGATACAGTTACCTATGTATTTCTTCATTCAGCGTTAGGACTTTGGCACACTATATTTTATATGCCATTATTGACACCTAATAAATAAATATCTGAACGCTTTAGGCCCGTGTCTAATAAATCACAACTACATCGCGTAAGTGTCTGTCCGTACTGATCGCTATTGTTTCTTCCGCTTTTTTTATGAATTGTTGTTTTTGTTATGACGGAAAATAACGTCAAGTTAAAATAATATAATTATTTCTATAAAGACGTCGTTTAGTAATGGTCGTCGACGACCAACTCGAAGCAAAAAAGCTTTTGGATTTTATGTGATATATGATAGTTTGGAAAGTCTATCCATATACAGAATTTTTAAACAGTGCACAAATTTTGGTTATTGTCATCGTTGCTGTAAATTTTTTTTTATCTCTATCATCAGAGATAAAGAATGTTTTCCATATAAAAACATCACTACTCATGGTTACCCTACTGAGCCACGTTTACTTTAACGAGGATTCGCCATCTTTCATTCATTTCATTTTCATTTTACATGTAGAAATTTATTTATTCACTTGACATTGGCAGAATTATGCGAAATGCGCAGATAAGCCATTAATAGAAGAAGAAGAAGACCGAGCGCGGTACTGTTCTGACATACGTCTTTCGCCTCAACCTTTATGACTCTTCATTCATGCTTGCCAGTTTTTATGGCTTTTGGTATTATCTTCTAATAAAACGTGGTCGCTATGATCGTAAAAGGAGTTTCTGAGCCTTTCGCGACTTCTACATCCTTCCACCATATCATTTGTATACTAGTTTTGTCGTTCTTTCATCGGGCATCGTTTTTACAATCCAAATTAAAGGAATATAGCCCAACACTCTTTTCCAGGTTAACTCCTCCTTATCTCTTCGTCTTTGCTGTTATAAAATTAACTATTAAAGTTTCATTGAGGGGTGATCACTTAGTTTAGAATCAACATCGAATAAGTATTTTTAATATGAAATTACAATATGTTTAAGTAATTATGTTATATTATCGATACTAAACTGTAGAAAAAAAATTGCTCTGTTAAAAACCTATGTTTTGTAAATTGTGTTTGTACCGCGCGGCATTATTCAACAGTTACTGCTTGATGCATGCACTGGTAGCCATACTTGATGAGGAAATGGAATCGCGAATCAGAGCCCAGCTCTGCCAACTCGCGAGCTGTTAGAATATCCTCCGCTGGCGGCAGTAATATTTCTAAATCACCTCCTGTATAAATATAATTAAGGAAGGTATATAATAATAAGGAAATAACAGTTACTGATAAGATCATACATACTGAACTTATATAACTTACTAATATTATAAAGGTGAAAGTTTGTTACTTCTTTACGCATAAAACCACTGAATCGATTTTGATAAAAAATTTGGTATACTGATAATTTTAAGCCTGAATTAACATAGGTATGCTGTCCCTATCCGAATGCTGTCCCTAGTAACCACACGCATGAAACCACTAGCAGAAAGCTAGTTATATAATAAGTACTCATACTGTTTTCAATATTTAAAATTAATGTCACATTGTGTCACCTACGATTTCCTAAAGGTTCCTTTTGATTCCCTACTTGTTTAGTGGGATAAAAAGTAGCCCATATGTTAATACAGGCTTAAAATTTATTTTAATAATTCATAATGGTTACTGTGGTAACGTTTTATATCCTTAAACAAACTTCCACTCCATTTTCACACCTTTATTTGCTGTTTTTCTGGATAACATATAGCTTACCGTGCACCGAATATGATGTAGCATCCCGTAGGCGAAAGAATTTTTCAAATCACATCAGTAATTTCAGAGCCTATTCGATGCAAACAAACAATCAAATCTTACCTCTTTAAAAATAAAAGTGTCGATAATCTCGGGACGAGGAAAGTAACAAGAATCAAATTATCGACGACGTGTGCCCTAATATAAGAGATACACATGGTGGGAAACTTACCCATAAGATGTACGAGCTCTATCAGACGGAAAAACATCTTATCTCGTATCGCTGCGTCTGGTTCATCTACGCGATACGACGTCCAATCGTCTCGTCTAATACACGCACACCATACCTGAACGGTGATATTGTAAAATTATGAATAAATAACATTTCAAAACACATTACATATTTAGGAAAAAGAAATTTTGATTTCCATAACGCAACAACTTTAGCCACTGACTTTTAGATTTGAGCAATGTATGTGATGTCGTCTAATGCTACAATTTATTTAAATCTTCTAATTGGCTACGCGACATAAAAATATATTATGAAATATTATAAATGCAAACAATAATTATGAAGTATTTTATATAATTAATGAAAAATGCTTAAAAATCCACTATGCCCCTAGTATTCTGAGATTTTCATCAAGAATATTTACCAGCATTCCGAAAGCAAAATTTATAAAATATAAAAATGTAAATTGTAGGTTTTTCCTTTTTGAAAAAATAATGTGCTATATTTAATCTGTAGATTAAAAGTACCGAAACGTGGGCGGCTATGACGGAACATCGTGTGACGTCACATTTCAATAAACTAAATGTCAACGTCTTTGTTGCTAATCCAAGCAGTATTCATGTTTATTGAAATGTGACTTCAAGACTCTTAATATCACATGACTGATTATTATTTTCGAGAGACAATTTAAATAAATAAATAAATAAAAATATGCTTTTCTTTATTTAATGACACTTTTTGGCGAAAAATAAATTAGTGGTTTAATATGATCATGAGAAAGTTTCAAAATACTTGTCCCAAAACAGTCTAGTATTAGCCGATTGTGCCACAAAAAAAGTATGTATCCTTAATCCAATCATACAATTGACACATTTAATAGCACATTCATTATATATTGATGATTGAACTCACTCTTAGGCGAAGGTCGTCTCGGCGTTCCATGTCTTTAACATAATCGGTCATGTCCAAAGCTTTCTTCATGTCGTATTCCGTAAGGGACTTGCTCTCTGATTCTATGTACATCTATAAAAACATAAATAATACTATACTTATTAGTTTTGTAATAATAACAGCACGTCGACCGATACAGACAACTTTTAAATTAGAACAAATTTGTTATGATCAATTTTTATGATTTATATAAACATTCATAATATAACTTCAAAATTATTAAGTACCTGAATAATATCTTCCGGCTGTAGAACCTTCGTGTCCTCAGCATCAAGTCCGTAATGTACACGAATATCTCTCGGCAATGCTGTATGTTGCTCAGCTAGGGCCAAACTAGACTCGATTTTAGGACGCAGATCTGGAGGAGTATCAGACTCGTCTGACGCTAGCAGACAGAGTTTGGCAAGAGATGCCATTGTCTATAACAAAAACATAAATAAGCTCAGTCACATTTCAAAGTACTTAACATTGCGGGTATAGAAATTTCACGCCACAAAAACCTTTAAATAAATGGCCAATTTTATTAAAGAGGTGGCGCGGCGGCAGCAACCTCACCAGATGCGAGGAAATAGAGCGCTAGTAATGACGCGCGCCCCGGCACTGCTCATACATTGCTACACTGTAGTAATAATACTGACCGTCATCCTGCTCACGCTGTCTCTTTCAGAAGTGGCCAGTTGTACGAGAGGTGGCGCGGCGGCAGCAACGTCACCAGATGCGAGGAAATAGAGCGCTAGTAATGACGCACACCCCGGCACTGCTCCTATATTGCTACACTATAGTAGTAATACTGACCGTCATCCTGCTCACGCTGTCTGTCTCAGAAGTGGCCAGTTGTACGGGAGGTGGCGCGGCGGCAGCAACGTCGCCAGCTGCGCTAGTAATGGCGCGCGCCCCGGCACCGCTTATATATTGCTACACTATAGTAATAATACTGACCGTCATCCTGCTCACGCTGTCTGTCTCAGAAGTGGCCAGTTGTACGAGAGGTGGCGCGGCGGCAGCAACGTCACCAGCTGCAAGAAGATGGAGGGCTAGTAATGGCGCGCGCCCGGGCACCGCTCGTAACCACGCGCATAATCTAGAAGCCACTCCAGGCCGAGTGCAACGTAGCAATTGAGGTACTAAAGCACCTCCGCGTTCCACTATACGAGCGAACGACAACTCCGCTACACCCTGTATAAAATAATCAGCGTGTAACTACATAGTTACGATAATTTTTATATTTTTAAAATTATTTTCGAATGCCTTCTGATAGTTTACCTCATCTGAATATTTCTCGATGTAAGAATACAGCCTTTCCAGATCGTTACTGTTTATACACATTTCTATCAGTAATTCATAGTCCTTGAACTTCTCAGCCAATACGGCAGCGCGTTCTACTAAGCCTTCGTCCACTAAAAGCAAAAAATCAAATCATACAGAAAATTTAACAAAACACCCAAATAAATAATCTATTTTTAATTTCTAACAGACACTAAACGTTTCTATTCCGAAAGCTTATAGTCCTGGTTCAGTGGGTCACAAGGCAAATCTTATAAATATAATTACACTAAGAATATTTTTAAAGTGACATAAAAATATTTGACATTGGTTTTTACGGTTAACAACAACTAAAGGCCAGAAAATTAAGAAATTCTAGACAAAAAGAAAATGACAGAAATTGGGGTCTGAAACACCACCATTAAACATATTTATTTCAAAGATGTTTATGTATACCAAAAATCCATAATCTCTATAGGATTAGCTAATGTATAATATCACTTAACGAACTGTTTATTAACCTTAAATACTAAAAAAAAACCAACCGAAAGGCTGTATGAGATCACGTCTCATCGCGGCAGGAGCGGGCGTGCGGTCCGAGAGTGCGCGATCAGCGAGCGCGGCCGCCGCTTCTACTACCTGCCAGCGAGCGGTCGCGTCCGGACAGTTGTGAGCCGATTGCCTAATATATTGACACATTGTGAGTTTTTTTAATTATTCACGATTGTGAATAAATATAAAATGTATTCCATAGTTATTAAATTTATTCCTAAATAAGCTGTGGAGATTTCCACAGCTTATATAGGAATACATTTTATAACTTAACGATGCTATAATAACCTAAGCCGGTTACAACTTATAAAGATGGCGGACTATTATTGACAAATAATAAAAACCGGCCAAATGCGAGTTGGACTCGCGCACGAACGGTTCAGTACCGAAAACGAGCAAAAAATCACGTTTGCTGTATTTGGAGCCTACATAATATTCATTTATTTCCGTTTTTTAGTATTTGTTGTTGAAGCGGCAACATAAATAAATCATTTCTGAGAATTTCAACTATCTAACTTTCATGGTTCATGAAATATAGCCCAGTGACAGATAGATAGCGAAGTCTTAGTAATAGGGTTCCCGTTTTACCCCTTTTTCTCTCTTTATTAGGAAAAGCTAACAAACTTCACATTATGCATTAAGAATGATACATTCATTTTCACATAAAGTAAACATGTAGTCAAATATGCTATGACTTACTAAAATTAACTTACAGTAATTATTAACATAGTGTGATACTGAGCAACAACTAAAGATCACTCTCCGGCACATAACATTACAAAAAATTGAATTTCTAATCACAAGATAAGAGCACAAAGAAGTGTACTAATACTAATCTAATCTATTAATCTTATTGCGAGATAGAAAATCGGTCACTTAAATGAACAAAGCACAGATTTTACAAAGTATCAGTCAATATCTATTTCAATCTCGAAAATTGCACTCAATCACCTCTCCACCACGCGCCAAAGACTGACCCATTACCATAAAAAACATAAATCGAACATAAAAAATTAATCAAATTTGCTATAATACTATTGGGTACGGAACTCTAAAAAAGAAACCATACTCACACGAGAGAATACATTCATTCAATTTTAATGGAATGTTAAAGTAAAATAGTCGCTCGTTAACGACACAACAGAGGTAAGCACCATTTTTTCTTTTATTGCACCAATACATGCTGTGTAGTTCACACAACCAAAGAATCAAATGAATTCCCACATATGTAAATAAATCAGGAAAGCTTGGACATTATGAACGATCGCCTTGGTCTGTTTAAGCAATGTATTACCGATGTGCTTTTTGAATCATGTTGAATGTGTATTAATTTCGATGTTATAGTCACTGTTAAAATATAATTTTGGGATTAATTTGTAAATTTATTGTAATTAATCTTAATATAATCTAATTTTATTCTTTATTTTATGCATGAAAAATATAATATACTATTATGCAACCTTTATAATTGTCATGATAAGGCCACAAAGATTTGGTTTACAATCTAGTTTATAAAATACTTGAATTGCAGTAAATTAAATTTGGTTGTGAACTGTTTTGTGTCCTAACTTAAATAAATAAATAAATAAAGTCATAAAACCATTCATAACTCTAAATCGATTTTATCTATTATCTTGATAATGGGTTTTTTATTCGTAGCAAAATAACAATGATTTATTTAATAACGAATAAAAAGGTTTATAGACTGTCGTTCGGGTCGCTAGTTGTAGCGAGCGGCAACAAATCATAAAATTTTAATGAATTATCGTAAACTTACGCAAGCGCACGACGTACTAGCTGTACGATAGGTGGTATAAGATCACGTGGGAATCCAATATTGGCTCCATCAGACCATTGTGTCCGCACCTTGTGAGCCTCACCTAACACGATCTAGTAACAAAATTAATAATATGAAAAAAAAAAGTATTATTATAGAAACAACAACAAAAAATAACAGCTTCATAGATAAGATACAAAACCGAAAAAAGAAAGACATTTCTTGTCAAAATCAACAGATCAAATACACAATAGCAGATACTATGTGCTAGGGAGTGGAGGATGTTTCGTTGGCTGGTCGCATAATATAAACCAAAAGTAACCTCATACTATCCAGTTTAAATCAATGTTGAAAAGTATTTCTTATAGTAAACCTTCTTCGGATATAATAAAAAAAAATTGTTTATACCATTTATACTTATAAATACAGTACCATTAAAATAGGAAAAAAAATACCAGTAAGAATTTTTTGAATTTATGACAACTGTCAACATGGCGCTGCTGTAGCTTCATCATAAAAGACACAAAAAGAAAGAAAATAAAAGAAAAAAAATCTTAGTCGGTAAAACAGTTTCTTCAATGCTATATCGTATTTTTAAGAAGTAATTGGTAGAGTAGTAAGGCTTATTGGTATGCTCGACTTGATGTCTACGTTTTTTGTACTTATTTGACTGGGCTATACAAAGGCAGAAGCAACGATAATGACATTTGCGATTAGCTTTGACCGGTCATCCCCATTAAAAAACATATTATTATTATTATTCATAATTTGAAAAGGCACTGAAGTTGCATATGGATCTGTAGTCACTGTGACTTAAAAGATCTATTGGGACTCGCCACCAAACTGTAGTAGCTCTTGCAGCTTGGTAGCCTACAAAAAGTCAATGATATTCCTGGCTACTGATGTTGATTATGTGTCGTCGCAGATATAACTTCGTTCGTTCTTCACACAAATGTTAAAAGAAATTAACTCACATTAACAATATTTATAGCAGCGGCGGCGTGTAGAGCGGCTGCTCTTGGGTCGTGATGAGCATGCGCGTGCGCACTCGCAGCTATCGCGCGAATGACGCGTGTGATCTTAGTGACGCGCCGGTAGCAAACATCAGAGGGAGATAGAGCACCGGACGACAGTGCTTCTTCCACTTCTGGCTCTTCTTCTACTTCATTGTTATCGCCGCATACAACCTACAGATATTATGAGATGTTTGTTTCTAGTATTTTGCTACTCAATTAATTTATAGTTCAGTTATACTCCAAAATTATGGACGCCATAATAAGAAATTATAGTATCGTTATTTTTATTTTTGTTTTAGTGCTGTAGAAATCAATAGCATAATTCTAGTAAAACTTTTTACTATTACTACTTTTTAGTAATCGACTGATTTCGAATAATACGTATCGCTGAAAAATTTGTGAACACTCTTATTCTCATTTGTGCATGACTTATGCTTATATTCTCAAATAATATATGAGTTCCCACCTGCTGTATAGCTGCTGTGATGAGCTGTGCATCGTTACCATCTTGTAAGCGACGTAGCGCTATCGCCATCGCGAGTTTTTCTGCTAGAGAGCATAGCTCTTGTGCTGTACTCTTGCCGCTCTCACTTGGCTCTACACAAATTTATTAAAATCAAATTCCAGGACGATACACATTTAAACTGATACCATACTGCGTTTAAAAATACATGGTTAAGATGTAGCTGAAGATGTAAAATCGTATAAAGTTCACGTTTCCAATGGCTAATATCTGCGTTTATTGTTAGAACAAAGTTTCTGATTCATATTTAATGGCAGTGAGGTTAAATGCAAAATTTATCCAGATTTTCAGATTTTTGTACTTGATGTGTATATTGTTAAGACTTATTTTTGTAAATGTGTTATAAAATAAGGAGAAACAAACAAGTTCACAGTAACTATTAGTAAAATTTAATCATACCATGTAGTACACCTTGTGTTCGTAGGAAGTCCCGGAATAAGGCTAATGCGCGTTGTTTATCTCTCAATTGCTGAGCGTGCGCTAACGCAGAGCTGCTTCCTAGAGGAATTCGAGTTCGTAATCCACCTATTCGAGCTTTCCACCTAAAAAATTGACATATCTAAAAACCTTATCTGATATTATATAGGTACTTAACATTTTAGTACAAGAAAAAATTAATAGAGTAGAACAGAATTTAATGTCCCAAACGATTCTCTACAGGCGCCAATTATATCATTATCATATCGTTTTCTATACTAATATTATAAAGAGGAAATATTTTATTGATTGTGAAATATTTTATTGAAATGAAAATGCTAGTGGAAGTTTGTGTAGGCAATTAAAACGTTGTCATTGTAACCTTTGTTTACGATCTAATTTGTCATTGTAATTATAATCGTGTCAAAGAATAAAGTATATCCATGTCATGATATGAAACCTTATCCAAATGATTTATTAAATTAAATTCTAAGCTTGGATTTGGGTTTATCTTGGACTAATTTTTATCCCACTAAACAGTTCACTAAAGACCACGCGGGCGAAGCCGCTGACGGAGTCAATAATACATAGATAGATAGATAGAATACTCTTTATTGTACAGACACATAATATTTACAATTTCAATTGTAGAAAGGAGACTTACAAATGGCGGCAATTCCATGCCTGTAAAACATCTGTGCACCGCCCACAGATAAACACTGTACAAGACCAACGAATACTCTACACGTACTACTTCTCAAATTCCCGAAGATTTGGAGGGTAGACACCCTACAACAGTTAGTTACCTGGGATCACCAGCCGGTGCATCATCCAACATATCAGTGGCAATAGATACAGCGGTCGTAGGTAAAGCAGCAGCCGGCAATTGTTGAAGCATAGATCGACAGGATGCTTCTTCACGCCTCACATAGAATAGAAACGCCGCTTTTAACTGCCCACATAAGTCTGTCGTCACAGAACTAACCTAAAAGACGGATAACCGTGGATAAATGTAGTGGCCATTGTGCACATTATATGAGAATGGCTTGTAATTATAGCGAGGGATTAGGGTTGTGCTACATCTGGCAGCACGGTATCGGCTCTGTAATCCTGTCCGTCTCTGTCGCTCAGAGCCAACATTTGTTAGTTAGTAAGAAAAATTGCGGGTGTGACATACCACGCCGCAGAAACCTCGAAACGCTAATAAAATTAATATATTTATTAGCATTTGGTCAACGAAATAACATACTACCAAATACTGCACAACCCTTACAATGATTAATGAAACATTAACATTGATCTTTAGGCTATTTGTGTGAACCTATCTGTCATTGTTTGAGCAAAATAAAAATGTATCTATACAAATATTATAAAGTAAAACGATTTGGTTTTGTTTGTGTGTATGTTGTCCGAAACTACTGGTTAAAAATGCTTTCACCTATGCGCGTATGCGGTATATTTTATCCCAAAAAACACATAAAGGGATGAAAATGGGAGTGGAAGTTTGTATAGGGAATTAAAACGTTGCCATAGTAGACATTGTTTACTATTCAATTTGTCATTATAATTATATCTAAATAAACATACTAGATTTCCTCCAGCGGCTTCGCCCGCGTAGTTCCCAGCTACGCGGACGAAGCCGCAAGAAATTTAGTATGTAATAAAAATATTTCATGTTTATTTAAAAAAAAAACGCTGATCAACCATGCAAGATAAAACAAAGTATTGACACAAAAGAAACAGATAAAAAATATCATATAGAAGTAAAAAATAAATTACCTCGTGCGGATCGATTTCGTACAGCGACAAGTTTCCGTCGTACATGTCAGATGGACACGGTGAACCCATCGGACTATCACATACTGACCTAAAAGTTATTTCTTTTTTTAAAGTCGAACCTATGAGTGTCTGTTGCAATACGTATAAGAAAGCAAAATAATATAATCAATTTATGTATATACCCCATCATCGGGGGTGCAATTTTAGTAGCCAGTGATGGTTAAAAATATATATGATGTCGATATTGATAATCAGCTTTATGTAAAACTTAGTATTATTTTATTCGTAAAAATAAAATAATACTAAGTTTACCAAATTGTACATCCAAAAACAAACATTGGATGGTCAAATAAATAAGTAAAAACGACATAATTCCAAATAGCAAAAATGGCGAATCCACTTACGGGGTGGGTATCAGACTATCAGCTGTAGACAGTGCCAAAACGCCGTGCTTCTTGCTAAATATTAGCGGAGTTCCATCGCAAAGTTCCGCGCCCAATATACGATCCCCTTCCGCGGATACATCTATTATATCTACCTTGTCACTAGATACTGTGCCTAATTAGAAAAAGAAAGAATAAATTATCGTATAACACATTGATTTGTAACTGTGGAATATATTTTAGAAATACAGGAACACAAATTGTTATTTTAAAACAATTGCCATCATTATTTATCTTTAATTGTTTAAATTATATTCAAATATCAACCATATCCCGTTCAAATACGATCTGAAATTACTACGCGAGTACAATATTATTACAACAAGTTAACTCACTTGAAACCAGAGCTAAATAATTTGGTGTATATAGAAGAGCGAGAGGTCCAAGTGGCAAAAATCTCGGCGGCGGTTGGTCGACGTCACATGGCCAATTACGAAGCGGAACCAGTGACGTCACACGCGGATTAGCTGGATCTTCTATAGATATGTGTGCTGTAAAGAAATAGTTTGTCATAATTATTCACAAAATTCAATAAATTAAAGTAAATTAATTTAAAAACTTAATAAACAAATCATATTCTATATGTACTTTTTAGTATTTGTACTGATATCTAAGTTTCGAACTTTCAGTTTTTTATTACGTTAGTTAAAAGGAACGAAAATTACTATCTTTGGTCCATTCGTTTCCTGCAAAAAACAACTTTTGGCAGTCACCGTCTGGTGCTTTCTTTTTTATCTTAAAATAACTTCCTTACTTTAAATTAATGAATGAAAAATGTTTTGTTTAATACAATTATGAATATGAAAGTTTTAAAGTACTTTACCCAAAACACTCAAGTAGCCAATTAAATAACGCTAAAAGACTGAATATAACTATACAAATAAATTATACCTATAGCGTATCTGCGATCAGCTGCGATCAACAGCAGCAATCCCTTGCTGCCACTAGCACGCACATCTAATGCCACCAATTCTGCCCCACTCAAATCACCTGTATAGAACAATTTACAGATTTGAATGGTTTTCCTTCCCTGTCGAAACTTATCAGTTTAAATATACCGAAATTAAATTAAAATCGTTCGAATACACATACAACATTATTAATATATACTCACCATGTCTCGCGTGTGCTTCAGTAAGTGGCCGCCTAAGACTATGTTCGTGTAGTTCTCCAGCAGTCCACACTTGTATAAGAGGCCCGCCGCCCGCATTGCCCCCACCACCTACTAGAACCACGCAACCTTCCTTACCGCCTTCTTCGATAGCGTCTAACGAACCCTCTGACAGTACTATTACACCTACTAACTTCTGTGTGTGAGAAAAAATTCATTGTTTAATTTTTGCCACGGTATAATTGGAACATGCTTTGTTTTTATATTACAAATACTATATATCTTACAAAACGAGAAATAATATTAGTACTAAATTTTAACCATTAGCTGCCTAAAGCAAATGGGCGATCGAGCAGCAATAAGATAAAAAAATCATAAAATTTTAAGTTATTCTTTGAATATTTTTGCTAAACAAAAGTTATTTTAATCAATGAGTAAGAATATAGTTTTACAATATTTGGCTCACGTCAAACGAAACACCGATCAGAGCGCGTGACGTCATTTGTGAATAAATTGATAGTCACAGATAACTTCCAATAGATACTGCATGATGACTATTTTGTTAAAGAAATAAAGATGCCTTAAAAATAAAACAAAACTCCCCAAAAAATAACCATTTTTCTTGCGGGCTGCAAGAAATGCAAAAATAATTAATAACAATTCTAATTTAAAGCTATGATAAAATGCACGGAGACACAAAACATATATAAAAATGAGTATTTCGCTACAGCGCTCATATGAAAATATTAAGTTACATTTTCAAAAGGGGGTTAATTTAGATGAAAAATGCAAAAGTTGCAAACTTTGGGCTTTTGAATAACAAACAAGTATTTAAATAGGATGAAAATTATCAATGAAATTTTAAACTACATATGTTCTGAAATATCTTAAGCTAGTTAACATAAGTAGGGGAGACCTAGGAGAGTTGTGACAATTTTTACATAAGGGGCTCTATCTCGCTTAAGAAACATTCCACAGTTATGACTCATGTGAATTAGTTTAGCGCCATTCCTTCTGTTTTCAAAACCATCACTAAAATTAATTAAAGTATAACAGTTTCTGAAAAAAATAACAAAATTCAAGTCCACTCCCCTTGTCACAACTCTCCTACTACCGAGGTAAGTTGTGACAGGTACCGAGGTAAGTTGTGACATCATTGTATTTAAGCTATAAGATATAAAAATACCATTATATACGACATAAATAAATCAAGCACGTTTTTTATCAAATTAGTACTTTAATCAGTACTATAATAATAAATTTGACTTGGAAAACACACACTGAACATGTTTGCAAAAAGTTGTCCCAGTATTCTTGTGCACTATACAAACTTAGTAGGATCGCGAATCAGTGCACGGTCCTTACAGCTTATCACGCGTACGTAGTTTCAACTGTTCGATACGGAATTATATTTTGGGGATATTCGACTGATTCTGTAACTGCCTTTAGAGCCCAGAAAAAATGTGTTAGGAGCATATGTTATTTACAAAGTACGGATACCTGTAGGCCATATTTTATTAAACTAAATATTATGACCCTGCCATCAATCTATATATTCGAAGTTGGTATTTTTGTCAAACAGAATCAACAACTATTTGAAAATAAGACGAGATTGCGTCATCGAGACAAATTGTGTACGATACCCTCTAAGACAGCTGTGTTGTACAAAAGTATCTTTTGTATGGCTCCAAAAATTTTTGATAAAATTCCGAAAACAATACGTTATCTGGATAATTGTAATGTTTTTAAAAGAAAACTTTGTAAATTATTAGTAGCTAAAGCATATTATAGTGTAAACGACTATCTAGCTGACAGTACTTTGTAAATGTATAAATACTTAATGAATTAATTGAATTTTTGACATAACATATTATTGATTAGATTAGTTGACAATTACTAACCTACTAATATTGTATGCCTTTTAGGCAGATCACGGTGTAACTATTCAGTCCTTGCATCCAATATCTTTATATAACCTGCGATCAACAATAAAGATTGATTTGATTTGACTTGATTAATCATCTTTTAATACCTACCAACTAAAACAACATAGTATTAATATTCTCATTACAAGTAATTATAATATTTTCATTAACTTAATATGGTATCGCTTTGAGGTCAATCATATTATTGTTATAATTAGTATAAAATCTTAATCTAATCAGATTCACAATTATGCCAAACGTAATGCAGCTCGTCCCCAGTACAATCTACGTGTGCCTAGCCTTTGCATTCAAGGCTTTGGACCCACTGATCATATATCTGCTGTCTGCATAGGCTTTAAGGCAAACCAAATAAAAGCAATTATTTTCTGCATCTTCTTCATCACTTGTTCTATTCTTCTTATTAGTCTTCTTTGGTTTTTTAGGTTTCTTTATTTTTTCTTCGCTTAAGACATGCTTCTTAACATTCTTAGATTTTCAGTCTCTGTATAGTTATTTGTATGTAAAATAAGTATGCGGTATGCCATTATACACCTTAAGTAGCTACTAACACAACAACAAACATCTAAAGTTAATAAAAAACATTGTAAAAATAGCCCAGCAGAAATATGGAATAAGATAGGAGAGTTGTGACAGGCTGTCACAACTCGCCTAGGTGTTCAAAATGACGTCTTGGTCCGAATAATAATTCATATTTTCTAAACACGATGCGCATACAAAAAATCAGTGCCACGTATTGAGACTTAAATAACTACATAACTTAAGAAAAAATAACACATCAATGCACATATACTAAGATATCATATATATTCAAATAATATTTTGAAGCAAAACTTACTTTTCGCAATTTTTTGTACACTGACGATATATTTACGCAACTGTGCCATATGCACCGTCGACAGGTACTGAGTCGTGTAGCGCGTGTCGAGAACGACAAACAAGCGTTAAAGCCATCTCGCTTGCTATAATAGGTAGAGAGAAATCCTCCTTGTCACAACTCACCTCTGTCACAACTCACCTCGGTCTCCCCTACTGTAGATACATAACAAATATTGTGTATTAACCTCGAAGTATTTTTGTGTACTAATTTCTGAGCACAAATTTTTACTATAAGAGTAATAATACCAATCAATGTTTACATATGGAAATATCGATATCGATCATACCTAGAAAAAGCATGCAATAGCGATACTAGTGTTACAGGTGTCTTTGTCAGAATGAAATTAATATACTTATTTAGTAATGAGAGAAAGGGATGGGTTTCAAGAAGACATCAACGCATGCTGCATATTTATAAAGTTACCTTTAATTGTCCATTATAATTTGAACTCCGCGAGATAAAAATACAAATAAAATTTATACTACTGGTGAAAAGTTATACTATCTTTCTTGCGTTTAACTGCATATAACTACTTTATTAAAACGATTTATGCAGAACCATAGATGCTTGGCTACATTTAACTGTCTTTCATGCGGCATGTGTTGGAGGTTATCTGTTTTGTTAATGACACTAAGTAGGAAAGCCCGGATCCGGAAACATTCCAAATGTAAAATGATTTTAATGAGGTACTGGATTTTTAACAAATTACAAGGGTCAGTTGTTTTGTTATTTATTTGTAAGTTTGAATTAAAAAACAGCATATAACTCATTTTTTTCATTGAAAATAACTATTTTTACCCCACCAATTACGTCACGTCCCCCAAGTCGCCTTTACCGCGGGTTTTTTAAACAGATAAATTTTAAACATAGTGGTGGGTAAATAATAAGGCGTCATGATCATAAGGTGTCATAGTTCAATAAAAATTATCACAAATAACTTTCCATAACATAAAATTACTTACAGTGTCAGCATGAGCAGGCATAGAACCGAAGAAAAGTAACGAAACACGGCGTCCAATGCCGCCAAGCCAACCACTTGGAGGGCGAAGCACCCGACAGGTTACCGTGGCTCTTCCCTCTGAAAATAATCTTATAACTAAATCATAGTAAAAGAACTGAATAAAATCATCATCATCATCATCATCAGGCTATTAACATACCCACTTCTGGGAATCAAATAAGGAGAACGTGAAATGACCCATCGTCTGGCCCGGTGCGGACTGATAGGTTTTAACAACTGCTAGATGCAGCCGAGACCAATGATTTAGCGTGCCCTTCTAAGCATAGCTGATCTCATAATAATAAATTTTGGTCACCCGTCCTATGGCCGACCGACTCATGCGAAAATTGCTTAACTTAGCGCTAACTACTGCGCCATCGAACTACTATCCATAATAGATGGATATCTATCGATAAAATACTCAATGACTTTTATATGCATAGAAAGTAAGAAAACTATCTAAACTTATCTGGTAAAAAATATTGTTATGAAGATTTCTGTAGTTTCCATCGTCCTGTATAAATTAACTTTTAATACAGTGTAAGGTCTGGGTGGCCTAGTTTATTGTTTCAGATTTCCTTGACTCAATTTTAATGTGAAAATTTACTTTACATTTCAAAAGCAAGTTATAGTGAAGTAACTTTGAAGATTATAACTAACACTAACCATGTTTCTGTGGATTTAACAGTACTACTGAACAAGTAGTAGTAGCTAAAAGCAGATATTCTGATGTAGCCACAAGGCGGTCGCACTCTTGGCCAGCGAGATCACAAGATACATCTACAGAAGCACTCTCGTGGCCGACGGACCACCAGTACCTTACTACGCCTTCTGGTGAAACGCCTACACATGATGGCATCTATAAAGAAACAGATAAGAGATAACTGTTAAATCAGATAATCAGCCAACTTTGTCCAGAAGAGCAATGCCATTTGTGCTTTTGCTTTCCTGTTAGCATCATTAGTTGTGAATATCCCTACTTAATTTATATAGATAAAAAATATATGGGTTACCTGTGCTCCATCTTCATAGAAGAGTTCTACCAAGTCTGCCTTGTGAGCTAAGTCAGTCTGTGGTAAGGTCAACTCTCGTGCAGCAGGTGGCGCCCCAAGCGGCGCGGGTGATGATACACCACTGCTGATTGTCTCACGTGGCCATGCTACTACCCGTCGTCCAGCAACCAACCAACACCAACCGCAAGGCGATAGACGGACACTCACATCACCGCTAGCTGTAAATGTATTGTATTTTGAAATGTTTTAAATATTTACACTGTAGTTGAAAGAGTACTACAAAGAATATCAACATATTAACAGACACACGCTAACAAGAGCGTTTAACTAAGGGTGTGATACATATCTCACAGAAGATGCATTGCGTAATTATATGTTATAGGTCGTCAGAATTGACGCATAGGTGTATGAAATGATATTAACAATAGTTTATGACGCAAAATTCGCTGTCGTCTATCACACTCTGAGTCTTTTGTCTTAACGCCAGCTTAGCCTAAAAATGTAATGCAATTGTGGATGCAGTCAATAAATATAAAATACAAACTATATAGAGGATGAAGATGAGGAAATATAAGGAAGGCAGAAGATGTCTACAATTGGGAAGCCCTATGACCAGTGATATGAACATGTAGTGTAAAAATGAGACCAGAAACGGAAACTTTCTTTTTTCCAAGCCAGATTGCAGGCAACATTGTAATGACAAACTTAAACTTTATAAGTGAACTAACTTAACTCCCAGTATCTCCTAATTTACAGTGTCACTAATTATATGCTATGTATCACTAATTGTCACTATTTACTCACAATTTATTGACATATATAAAACCCTCAAACTCATTGGTGTGCCTGCTACCTTGATGTTCACCTTTATAAATATCATTTAATAATAATTTAATATTTATTGCACTGAACTATATAAATAAATGAAAAATTCTATGGGAGTCTACATTTCTTATCTCTGTTGTTCTTTGAAATTTAGGCTAATAAGCACTATTCCTAACACTGCTTATAATTATATACTTCAAATTGATATTACTAGGATTATGATTTACAGATAGAACTAAATAAAATGCAGTGCATATAAATACTTTTATGGCTGAATATCGCTACACACTGGTACACAATAATGTCTCAGATAACTAGTTTGTTTTTTACTTTTTTGTGTGATTAAAACCTTTGTGTAATTGTGTGTAGTTATTAAAATAAATGTTCTATCTATCAAACTATTGAAATCCCAAATCAAATTGATGTCATACCAAAAGTAAGCGTTTCCGTGACCATCACTGGTAATGGAGAACCAAATGTCTCTACTGTGCTTACAGGAGTCTTATATATCACATCTCCATTTGAACCTTGAGCTTGTATAAACTTCCTGGTGACAAAAATTCCAATATTATTACAGCTAATTACGAGCCAAGTGCACAAATGTCCATTAAAATTGAAATTAGTTTGAAGCTGCTTTAGCCACACTAATTTAACATTCATTAGTTTAAAGGCGTCATTAAACTGTAATGTACATTTGTGCAACTGACCATATAGTTCTCAAACTTTTTTAATAATGAAATTCTTTTAGAAACCTGTTATTTATATCTTACTAGCTTTCTGCCAGTGGCTTTGCCCACATGGTCTTGTATTATACATAAAAACATTCCTTTTGAATCACCCTATTTTTAAAAAAAAACCGCCTCAAAACCCCGTCGCATAGTTTTTAAGATTTAAGCATACATAGGGATATAGAGAGAAAGTAACTTCGTTTTATACTATGTAGTGAACATAATCAGAGCCAGTATATTATTAAACAGTAACTGTTTATTAATAGAGAATTATATACATATTTTAGTTTAATTCTAATTATTGCAGAAACATGACCAATATTCCCAACATGCTCTGCAGTACATGCACCACAAAACATAGAAAAATATTAGATACATATTCAGGAGGAGTAATGCCAATTGGTTTAAGCATCATTTTTAAAAATACTTAGTTGAATATTTGAGCTGTATAAATTTGGCTCATTTCAAATTTGTAAATAACTTATTATAACCCAAAAATATAGTTTATATATTTTTCATTTCACCCTTCAATATAAATTTATACTTCAAATTAACGAGAAACAAATAATTGTTAAACAGTTGGATAGAGGAGTGAGGGCTCACTATATCATAACTACAGCGGACATCTAAGGAAGATTATTATGTGTCATTTTTGTCAATATATTTTATTAATTACATAAAGAATGTTTATTGTTTTTTAATAACTACAGTACTAATTTATTGAAAATTACTTATGGATATATTTTCATTGCTAAAATATTTCATATCAGTTTCATGTATTTGTCATGACAAAGCCACCTAAAACTGATACTATAATTTAAATATCAATGTTTAATGATACGGCAATCCATGTTTGGCCATATCATTAATGTAATGTCTCCAATAAACTTTAATAATTTGCTGAAATAGCTTGTTTATATGTTAGCATAATTGTGTGGACTGAAAAAGAAACTTGAGGTTTAAGTTTCTAACCTATGACATGAACCTGACATACAGTAGTGAATCATATAGAAAGTTTAATTCAGGTTCAGGAAACTTGATATCCATCTTTTCTGGATAGAAAAGCCCTCACCTATACACACTGTAATGATTTTACTAAACTTCAACCATTACAAATGTATTATACCTAATTATTATATTCATACTAAAATAGTAATAAACTGCTTTGTATTGTAAAATATATGTGACATCAGCACCTCTAACAGAGACTGGTGTAACAATTTGAAAACATCATCAACAACACAACATGCCAAACATTTTAAAGAAAACTTCTTAAATCTAGCTGGTGTGGTACTACTATTTTTATAAGCATTATCAGGACCATTTGTTGAACCGAAGCAAGCAAGAGAGATATAGAATAAAACCAGTACCCTTAAATATAGATTTTCATGTGTAACAGATTTACATGTGTAGTACAAACTGTAAAAATAATAAGGAATTCATTACTACTATGGAATTCTATAGAATTATTCTAAGGAATGCATTATTACTAACTACTTCCAAATAGGCTGCTTATAAGTCAATGATGATAAGAGCTATCTTATTTTTCTTTTATAAATGACTTATCTGCGCATTTCGCACAAATCTGCCAATGTACAGTGAATAAATTAATTTCTACAAGTAAAATGAAGTGAATTAAAGATGGCTATGTTTTCAGACAGTCACAAATGACAAAATTAAAGATACATCTGGAACATTGTTTTTAAGAAATTTTGTATGAAAAATAAAATGTTTTAACATCATCGTCTTTATAGGTTAAGTCTTACCCTTGATTTTTCCTCGTAGACATTCCAAGAGGCTTTCTGCCTGTAATAGACTGCCTTACACGGAGAGAAAATGGACTTCTCATACCTCCGGTGTTGCTAAATTCCATTATAATCTAAAACTATAGACCTCTAAGTGCAAATTAAGTTCAAAATAAAACTAACCGACACATACACACTGCAAATTAAAATAAAAAAATCTCTCAAAAAAAAACAAATCAATACAGTATTGATGACGGTCCGAATCTCTATTGCATAAGACTTTAATTAAAAATGATCTCCATCGATACCCTGCAAGTAAGTTTTTGAAATTTTGTATTGCGTTTTAATATAATTTAAATGAAATAAAATAAAAGTAGGACAAAATAACTCAGATTATATATTCTCAAAATAATTAATTTTGATAATAATGTATAGTTATAACAGAGGCCTGCGTTTCGGACAGAAATCATTGACAAAACTAAAAAAAAAATGAACTGAAAATATCTGTGGAAATCGTAGACTGACATTTTTTTTTATATTTTTGGCTTCGACGCAAAGTCTTTTAAGCAAAAACTTTGTTTGCACTGTCTTTTTTTCAGTTATATTAGTCACATTTTCATACAGTTTACAAATTTCACTCTGAGATGTCAAATATCTTCGTATATATAGAGGGGTTTTACTTTTTTTCCTTCTATGTGTACTATTGGTTATTGCGTTTGATCTGCTATTGCCAAAATAAAGCAACATTTTTAAAGACCCGAAATGGGCTAGGTGATCAATTTTTTTAATGTGGAATTATTTTAAGGAAAAAAGAAAGCACTAAAAAGCACCTCATTAGATAGCGACTCTAGCAAAAGTTGATTTTTGCAGGAAACTAATGGAGCAAAGATAGTCATTTCCGTTCTTTTTAACTAAAATATTATAAAACTGAAATTTGCAAAGTCGAAACTTACATATCAATACAAATACGAAAAAGTATAAATATAATAAGTTACTTATTGAGTTTTGAAAATTAATTTAATTTTATACATGAAAGAAAACCGGGATGTCATGGAGTAATCAAGAAATTACCGTAGTGACATCTAATTTGAGTTCCGGAACAAACATTTTTTAACCTTCCTCATTGGTTGAAGTCCTCGTTGCGAGATGAGGCGGGATGGTGCGGGGTGGAGCGGGGTGCGATGGGTTTCTGTTATTTTTTTATACTTAGTAACGTAAAAATTTGGTCACCCGTCCAATTCGCAGATTAAACGCGCTAAACACCCGGCATTCCTCATTTGGCCCATGTGGAGGTCCCAATTGGTGGTGGTAAAGCAACAGATATTCTTAATGGATGAAATTCTTAATGATGGATAATGGACAACATGGTCGACCAAAATAGTTCCGAAAAAAATTTGACCACCCATCCTATGACCGGCCTTTGTTACCGTCGCTTAACCTTCGCAATCGCACACCAAACACGCTAACCACTGCACCATCGAGATTCTAACTTATTTATAGCAGGGATATTGAAATATTTTTTGTCAAATTGAAAACCAAAGTCAAAGTCAAAGTCAAAATAATCTTTATTCAAATAGACTTCTTAAAAGTACTTTTGAATCGTCCAACATTTTTTCCCTACCACTCGTTCAGGACGTCTTTTGGCTGATAAGAAGAACGAGCAAGAAACTCACTAGCTCTAATAAGAGACCAATATTGATGATTTAATGATGATTTGGTATTATAGCTGTGCATATGAAATTGCGGAAAAATAGATCGAACCGGTCGAGCCCTCATACAATTAGGAAGTTTCATAATGTTGATATTATTATATTTAACACAAAATAAATTATTATCATTTTATGTTAAATCTATATCAAAATTATAAATCAAAACTGAAATAAATCAGAAAACAAAATTAAAATCCGTTATTATATTACCAAGTTCTAGATTATTTAAAACTGTGTTTTCGCACGGAACGTCTTTGGCCTCCGCCTGTGACGTCACAAAACCGAACTTGAGAGCGTCACATTGTAAATTAAATAAAAAAATTCACAAAATTTATTATTAATTACTCATTGGGTGCTCTGGATTTGTTTTTTTGTTATTAATGGACAATAATTTCATTTTTTTATTTATATGTAGTTTATTTTTTATTTCTATGATAATAAGAAGAAAAAGACAAAAGTATATACATTTTATAACCTACAAAAGGTAAAGATAATACGATATTACTTTTTAATGTGTATTTTACTTGTCTAGATACCAATCAGTTTAAAAAACAGGCCTGTGCGAATTTGACTCGCACACCGTAGAAGTATAACATTTTAATACCTCAGGACATTCTAAGATCAGAATATTTGCAACTTTTGTAAATGCGCTATCCATTTACAAAAACTACAAATATTATTTTGCTATTCATACAACCACTAGGAAAACACAACAAAAACAAAGTATAATATTTGATCAATTTTGCATTCACAGTGCCATACTGAAAAATAGAAGGACATTAATAATAGAAGAATTTTAGTGCTTTCCATCGAATGATAAACAAAACGTGACTATAAGATGCAGGCGTTGCGCAAAAACGAACTCCGGATACTAGTGAGCCGCGTCTTTGCGGTCATGTTCGGTAGCGTGACGTCACACGCTGAGATACCGCGTGAAGCGAAATTATTCTAGCGAGCGCTTGTTCAAAGTCCCATAACTTTTTATTTATGTAAATATTCAAGAATTTTTTTCACAGTAGTTTTTATTTTGCTTATTTTTTTATTTTTAATAGAAAAAAAGAGTAAACATGTAATTTGTAGCGATATCGTAGACTACGATTACGTACATGCAATTCTATGTAGCGGCGATTTGTGACCGATATTGACAGATTGTGCGATCTTATGAGTAAAAGAAACACTAACGATTCTCCAGTTATATTATAAAAGCGCGCGATTCGTGTGATATCATCCGTCGATATCGAATGTTATTGTCGCCCTATTAGAAAGGGACAAATAGCCATAAGGGGCTTGATATCTCGCTCGCTTCTCAGCTGGGAGCAATCTGTCCTGTTATAAGTAATACTAAGTCCATGGCTAGAATAGGGAAAGTCATGTTTCGCGTTCGGTGGGTTTTCAGGTATTTTGGAACAGCTTCTCTATTTTATAGACATTTGTGCCATGCTGTTATGTCTATCTATCAAAAACCTCATATTTTTACCTGTTTTGATTTTATGCACCTTCTTATTATTTATTAGTATAGTTTTATTTTATTTTATTTTTTTATTGTAATATAAAATGAAAACTTTAATACAATATTCTTTGCACCCATAAACCTGGTTAGGTTTGTTGTGGTGCTGTACACTCTCAATATATGTATATAATTTAACATACTAAACATTTTCTTTTTATGATCAATTAATATGATCTGTTAAAAAAAATAGCAATCATAATTTAATAGGTTTTATTTATTGAACTCGTGCGCGATTCACCATTGCTGATAGCCAACCGGTTAGGTGTGCCTTAACAACGCACGGGCGGATTGGGGCATAATCTCCACCATTTTTTTTCCGTGTTATCACTGATTTTATTGTAATTCTGTTCTACTGTTTATACAGGTTGTTATTCTGACGCGCCAAATCAGACATAAAATACTTTTTTAATTCAAATTTTTAGTTTTTCTGATTGACTTCATTTTTTATTTGTAATGGTAAATCGTTAATTAATCTGGATATTATATATTCGCCCTACTGTACTCGCATTTCTCACAATGAAGGGAAGTCTTTAAAAAAGCATTAGTTCCCGAAATCAAACTAGATGTCGCTACGGTACTTTTTTGATTTCTCCATGACAACACTTCCAGTTTTCTTTCATGTATACAAGTAAATTAATTTTCAAAATTCATTTAACAACCCAAATTCTATTTCTACTTTCTCGTATTTGTATTGATATCTAAGTTTCGAACTTTGCAAATTGTTAGTTAAATGGAACGGAAATGACTACCTTTGATCCGTTAGTTTCCTGCAAAAATCAACTTTGGCTAGAGTCGTCATCTAGTGAGGTGTATTTCAGTGCTTTTTTTTTCTTAAAATACTGGATTATTCTGAAAATGTCAAGTCTTCGATATCAATATTTTAGGGCGTCGATCGGCGTCGATATATCGTGCATCTCTAGATCTCTAGTCTTGTCAATTTAAATGTCAAAATACAGTCAAAAATTGAGTCAACGGTTCCCGCTAAATCGACGCTAAATTTATTTAATTTATAAAAATAATAAACACAATTTGTTTGCCAAATACTAAGTCAAGCGTACTAATGTAGTTTTAACAACAAAATGTACATAAAATCTATAGTATTGGACGGTTTCAAGTCTTATGGAAATCGGGTCGAAGTTACCGGTTTTGATCCCGAATTTAACGCTATCACAGGTTTGAATGGAACTGGAAAGTCTAATATATTAGATTCCATATGTTTTGTGCTAGGGATCACCAACTTGTCAAATGTAAGTAATTTTTATTTGATGTTGCAAGTTCTGGATTTTCGATGATTTAATTCGCGCCAAAATAATTATAAATCTGTAGGTCAGAGCTGGAAGTCTCCAGGAGTTGATATATAAACACGGCCAGGCTGGTATTATAAAAGCTACAGTCAGCATCACATTTGATAATAGAGACAAGAAACAATGTCCCATAGGTTATGAGAATCATGATGAAATTACTGTTACCCGGCAGGTAGTATATTTTAATGTTCTTAATAATAGGAATATAACTATTAATTGTATTTTATTATTGACTTATATATTTCTAGGTTGTTATGGGAGGTAAAAATAAGTACTTGATAAACGGTATTAATGTCCAGAACAAACGTGTGAGTGATTTGTTCTGTTCTGTGCAGTTGAATGTTAACAATCCTCACTTTCTCATAATGCAGGGACGTATCACTAAGGTGTTAAACATGAAACCACCAGAGGTATGCAACAAAGTTTTATTCTTGTATAACTAAGTAAAATAATACATAAACATATAAAAATAGTTTCAAACCAATGGTTCACCAATAGGAGAAAAAACATATAATAAGAGATATTCCTATTCAATTTAATCTGTGGAATCATTAATTTCAGATTTTGTCAATGGTTGAGGAGGCAGCAGGCACTAGAATGTATGAAGCCAAGAAACAGGCAGCACAAAAGACAATAGAAAAGAAAGATGCCAAGTTAAGAGAATTAAATGATGTATGTGATAAGATTAAGTTTTATGTAAATTTTGAAAGTTCATAGTCATCTTTATCATTAACAAAAGATGTGACAATAATATTGATGACAAAACAAAAATCTATTCATTGAGATACAATTTGATTGAAATGAATAAACCATGTTTTTATAACTAAGACAATTAATTTATACATATTAAGTATGTTAATGTCTGGATGATTTCTATATGATTTCTAATTAGTTTTTATGTGGAAATATTTCAGATCATAAAAGAAGACATCGCCCCTAAGCTGCAGAAGTTGCAAGATGAAAGGTCACAATTCCAGGAGTATCAAAAAGTAGTAAGAGAGCTGGAGAATCTTACTAGACTTTATGTGGCTTGGAAGTTAGTTTTAATGGAATAATAAATTACTTACCATATTTGTCAAATCCTATTTACTAACTTCATTATTAATCTTATAAACAGTTTGGTTTTATATTTGTATTATTAAATTTATTCACATTATGGAAATGAATTTGTGTCATTCTAGGTATGTGAGTGCAGAAAAAAGTGCTAAAGATGCCGAGGCGAAAGTTACAGAAGTGCAAGATGAGATTAAAAACAATAAAGACACTATTAAAAACAATGAAAAGGAATCTAAAGATTTGGATAAACAAGTGGCTGAACTCAATAAGAAGTTAGATGAAGTAAACAATATGTATATTGTTATAATATGAGAACAATCCTACATCATGCATGATCTGCATAATATGGGCATTTAATACGTCCTCTATATCATTATCAATTTTAAATCACAAAGGTCAAGATGTAGTTGTTTGATCTAAATCCAGATTTTATTATAATCCCGATATATAAAATTAATGTTTGTAGATGTTCCTTCTTAATTTCATCTTGAATTTTCATCAATTTAGTGGAAAATTTACATGTCCTTTTATATAAACTGATACATATATATTTTTTTTTCTTATTCTATTAAGGAAAGTGGCAGCGTTTTAAAAGATTTGGAAACTGAATTGCAAAGTTTGGAAAAGTCTGAGGCATCAGCTGGCGCTGCTCATAAGGCAGCCAAGGAATCTGTAGCGTCACATGATAAGAAAGCAAGATTACTCAACCGTGCACTTGCTGACGATGAAGCTGCGTTGCTTTCCAAGCGTAAGATCTTGGATAAGGTAGCTATATATATAAACTAAATATGGACTCAATTACTACAATAATATTGTCTAACTAAACTATTTATCTTGAAATATAAAAGAAAATATTTCACTAGTGGCTTCGCCTGCGTGGTCCCTAGGGAAATATTTAGTGGGATAAAATGTATCCTATTATCTAAGTCAGCCAATACACTGTATACCAAATGTCATCAAAATCCGTTCAGTAGTTTCGTCGTGATGTACAAACATCCAAACAAAGAAACTTATATTTATAATATTAATAAGATTATATAAAAGACAATAAGCCCTTTCATTCAATCATTTTTTTCATATAATTAAGGTGGCTATAGTGTAAGTGAAACTTTTTTGTAGAAATTATGCAAATCGCAAATGCGCTAGAATCTTGTCAAAATAACACCTGGGTGTCGTCATTTAAAAATAAGAAGCTCTATACTTATAGCATAAAATTCAAGATATAAATCATTTATTAATTATTGAAATATTTATGAATAATCAATTTCTTATATTTTCACGTACATTATCCATAAATGAAACAACTTTTTAAATCATCACCAAAAAATCAATAGGTTTACTTGTGGAAATCATATTTACATTAAGCAAAAAATTTTTATCAACGAAGATAAACATAACAAAGACTGTTACAATACGCAGGAGTCGTCTTCGTACGAAGGTCTGAAGGCCGCGAGCGAAGCCGCGGCGACAGCATTAGCGGAGGCCCAACAACGTTTCCTGGCTGTCAGTACTGGTCTCGAAGGCACCTCCGAGTCTCTGCAAGATCAACTCATGGGTAACTGTTATATTTAAGGCTTGACATGGATTAGGTTCGTTTTGACCATCATTAAGTGGCGGAAGTGTTATAATATTTTATCATTATAAAAACTTATTATTATTTGTTACAAACAAATTATTTTGTTATAAAAGAAATGGCACGCGAGCAATGTCGCAGCGGAAAGTTAGTTTTATTTTTGTTGAATTTAGGGTTCTGTAAATAAAGGGTAAAACGAAAATCCTATTATTAAGACTGCTGTCTGTCAGGCTGTATTTCATGAACCGCGAAAGACTATTGAAATTTTCACAGATGACGTGTTTTTGTTGCCGCTTTCACAATAAATACTAAAAATCAGAATAAAATAAAAATTTAAGGGGGCTCATATACAACAAACGTGAACTTTTTTCTCGTTCCCGGACGGAACAATTCGTGCGTCAGTCCGACTCGCACTTGGCTGGTTTTTGGTATTTTGAAAATTGAAATGAACCAAATCCGTTGATAATCATGTTAATGGTTATTAATATTAAATACGACCACAAAACATATTATTATAACCAAATGGAACCTTTATATTAATACGAATACTGTTTGCGATATAAAGCGGCAAAAGCAGCCGCTTCAGAAGCTGCTACTCGCATCGCTCAAAGCAGTATGGAACGAACTCACGCTCAGCGGCGGCTGGAAACATTACAGAAGGAAGCTTCAGCATCCTCGGCCCAGCATGCTCGCGACCAAGAAACGTTACGCGGTCACGAGAACCAAATTAAAAAACTCCAGGTCTGTTTGCAAATACATTATACTCGTACTTCTATTGTTTATAATAAATTAACAGTTAAGGTTTTTTGTTTTCCCAGATAAATTATTTAAATGTATTTTTTTTAAAGAGTGATTAGCATATCTAGCATTGAAAGTCACAGTGGATGTATTTGTGTCATAATTCTTGGAGAGTACCTTCCTTCTAATTTAAAAAAAATATATAATCTCGATCTATGTTTTACAAAAATAGGTCGATAATCGTCTTCAATAAAATAATTATTACCAACAAGAAACAAGTAAACCTAAAGCAAACCCAAATTAGCAAGAAAGGTACACTTAAAAGGCACAGAACCCATCAGATGATTTCATATAATTTTAATTGGACCATTAAATTTTACATCTTGTAATACATCTCATATCATTAATATAAAAAAATTATGATTTACAAGAAAACTGTTAATTTATCTATATAAATAAAAATAATTTGCTGTTTGTTTGTCTTGTCAAAACTCGAGAAATGCCGAGTCGATTTAGCTAATTTTGGTTCTGATATGTTTGTTGTAGTCCAGGAAAGATTTAAACAATAAGAAGTGATATGAATTACACCGGGTCATCTAGTTAAAAATAAATTTAAGCATAATTTAAAAAATTCTTCTATAGCTATATTTAAGTTGCAACAATTAACAGGCAGAACTCTCCAATATGAACTTTAGTGAAGAGAGGAATAGTTATCTCAAGGAAAACGTACGCTCATTGCAATCCCTAATACGCTCCAAGCGGGACACAGTCGACAATTTATCAGCAAGATTGCAACGATGCGACTTCAAGTATTCGCCGCCGCAGCCAAATTTCGACAGCAGAAGGGTTTCGGGTAAATTTATTATTGAGTTACCTACTTTTTTGTAGAATAAATTAACTAACCAGGAAGTAATACTGTTCTGTATAATAATTTTCCTCATAAGTTCCTCTCTAGTACGGTCGCCGAAAAATAAGAATTTTGTACGTTGACCTTTGTACTTAATGATAGATATCGCAAACATTTTAGGTTCACTTTACTATTAAAAATTGACTAAATACATCTGTGCGAGCGATTCAGCAGTGTATTTGCGCTTAAGTAAAAGAGATACGACGGTGGTTTGAAAAGTTCTCGGCCTGACCGAGATTTGAGGGTAGTATGTAAACTAATTTATTGTCATTTGACAATTCTTTATTTAATCGTATGTCAAGTGCCAGTATATTGAGGCAAGGGAGGAATATTTAGAAAAAGAAAACATGTTTTTTTATCTTCTTGGTTGGGCCAAGAACTCCACAAACCACTCCTCGTATCGGCATTACATTGCCAGGTCATTGTACGAAATTTTATTCTGTTAGTGACAGTGCTATAGCAATGCATTAATTTATTTGTGTTTATGTTAAAACTATATGCATTGAGTTTTTAAATTTAATTTTTTATGTAAGCATGCTTAGTATAGCACTTTCTATTCTGATACTCATGAGATTTTATAGACTTAATTGCTGGATATAGCTGACTATATAACTATGTAATTTCATACTAACAACTCATTTATCAATAATATAATATATTTCTCTTTTAGGTACAATATGTAGCTTGATTGATGTTTGTGACTCAATGTACTGTACTGCATTAGAAACTGCCGCGGGTGGGAGGGTGAGTCACTATTTTGTTTTATTTTTAATACTACTTAAATTATTTGCAAGTGCGCGATGTTCCAACCTCACGCAATTGCAGCAACCAACTCCTAATTTTGACTTAAAAGAAAAATTATAAAACAAGTTTCGTTTAAATGTTCAGGCCATAATGATATGGCAGATAGGGTTCCCTAACGGAAACGGGCAAAAGAAATCACATTTGCTGTTTGGGCACTGCCTTAAATATTTGTTTTATTCAAAACCGCCTTAAATTTTGTATTTGTTGTTGAAATGCCAACAGAAATACATCATCTGTGAATATTTCAACTGTCTAACTTTCACGGTTTATTAGTAATAGGGTTTCCGTTTTACCCCTTATGCACGGAACTCTAAAAAGCAAAACATATCTATACAATCTTTAAAGATTTCAAAGTTAAAGGCGAATCATTTCAAAGAATTTGTGTTGCCTGAATTCGTTTTTCTTTTTGATATATGAAATACTCTTTTTTTATAGTTGTACAATGTAGTGGTAGACACAGATGCCACGAGCAAACTCCTCTTACAACGCGGCAACTTGCAAACGCGTACTACTATTATACCGCTCAACAAGATCACAGGACATGTTATTGATGCTGCTACGGTACGGAGAGCGCAACAGATTGTAAGTATTACTCATTCCGCATTATAAAAAATAATGAAATATGACTCTATGCTTTAAAAAACATACATTGCCATTGATAACCTCAACCTTTTCAATTTTGAAGTCTGTTAATTTTTTTTTTCCACATGAAATAAATATACATTATAAAAGCTTCATCATCCATAAAACAGTTTTACAAATATAGGACAGCAAGCACCTGTATTTTGAAAATAAACAACTTTGTAAAGTTTTCTTTTCTAAAAACATAAATAGATTTATAAAAATGCAATATTGTAAAAAAATTTAGGTTGAGGTTGATTGAACAATTAATTTATTTTTTGTCTTTTGCATTTGAACTTTTTGATTTTAATTTATAATGAAGTAAGTATACTTGTTCTATGGTTAAACTATTTATTTCAAAGAGAACTCAACAAACATTTTTGAGGTTTTTTACATTTTTTTAATAAGATTGCTGTTGATGGTACATTCTATCTAAATAGAACTCTCATTTTACCTACTTTACAGATTTAAGTACAAAAGAAACATTAACATAAATATACATAAAGAATTCATGAATAGCAATAAACAATATCGTATGAAGGTGTCGTTAAGTCCACCTTGCATTTAAACCAAACTAACAAAGAGTTAGAATAAGAATATGAGCAAACTCTCTTGTTCTTCTGGTGTTAACGAAAATTCGTTATAAGCATTTAAGAACTCTCATTTTGAACCGAGAACTAGAATTCGGCACAATGTTAAGATCAAACAAATGCTTGTGTAGTCGATACCTATGTGTTTTTAAAATCACTAGATTACAAGAACATTTTGAATAGACCGCTCCAATGAGCGTGATCCTCCGAACACGCAAGAACGCTCTAAGCAACTGTTAGTACGCTCTAATGCCGTTTACACAAAGCGAATGAGCATTCTTAGAATATGCCATAGAATCTTTGCGAATCCAGATAGAACAACGAGCGAATGCTCTTAGACTATAACACTAAAAGAATTTAATGGAGTGCGGATAGAATGAGCACTCGCTAGGTTTCTTTCTATCGGCTTTTACACATTACAATAAAGGAGATTCGAATTATTTATAGGGCGGTGGAGCGGAGAACGTACAGTTAGCTTTAGATCTGATCTCTTTCGAACCGCATCTGCGTCCTGCTATGGCGTGGGTATTCGGAAGCACTTTAGTTTGCCGCGACTTGGAGACTGCGAGGAAAGTGACGTTCCATCCGGATGTACGTCGCCGGTGTGTTACGCTCGACGGCGACGTGTGTGATCCGGCCGGTACGCTATCTGGCGGCGCGAGAGCTAAGGTACAGTAAAGCCGGGGGTCTAATTTTAAAATCATGTTCAATCACTTACAATTTGACACTTGAAAGATATTCACGAATTTCACGCTGCAGCTATTTGATAAGTGCTACCGATTGCAATCTTCAAAGATGTAGATTAAAAAAATATTGTTAATTTTCAACAATCGTTACACGCAAATGTCTTTGAAAGTTATTGAGGAATGTCAAATGAAAGCGTTGAAAGATAACTGCAATCTTTCTTTGAATAAGTTTTTATTATGTTTCTAGATTATCCAAATCATCATTTGTACCATATAAAGGCGATTACGATTTTACAAGTTACATAATACCACAAATCGCTGTACCTTTAATTTTGATAAGATTGAACATAAACATAAACAATTATATAATGAAGCTATCAAATAAAAAGTTGAAGAGTAAATATTAAGGGTTTTAATTGTAGATATTATAAACAATGGTTTGGAGTATCTATTTAATTAAAATATTTAATATATGATTGCTTAGGGTGGATCGGTGTTAGTGCAATTGCAAGAATTGAAAGAAGCAGAAGCTGCCTTGCAGCAAGCTGAGGTACAGTTTGCTCAGTGTAGTTCAGAACTCTCTGCTATGCAGCATACCGCTGAACAGTATGCGGCTACACAGCAAAGGTAAGCATAACAGGTGACAATAGTATTATCATTGTTTTGTATGTTCTAATTATATAGAATTTTGACGACTTCTGTGACGGAGTGTCTTGTGTGACGGTTTCAAGATATAGACATTTTTATTTCCCTTATGTTCAATTTAGAAAATAGACTTTCTATATTATATTTTTATATTATATTATGAGAGTTCAGACATCCAGTAAGAATAAGCTTCCCGTAATGTTTGTGAAATAATGTTTAAAATCGATCCACTAATTTCAGAGTGTATTTAATGCAAAGAAACAATCAAATCTTCTCTCTTTCTACTATTATTAGTATAAATTCTGATTACATTTATTAGGTTGGAGATGGTGACATACGAACTTGGTGTAGCGCGGGCTCGTCTCGCAACCACAACACATGCGCAGGCGCATAGTGAAATAGAAGCTTTGCGGGCACAGGTGCAAATATCAAAATAATTATTTAGTTATTTATGCTAAATATTGCCGTAAATTACACTATGTAGAGAGATAATCAAATATAAAATGATAAACAATTAAAAAATATTATTGTGATCTTTAAGTAATACTTTTGATTGTATGTCGTTATTAAATATATGATTAGCCTAATTAACTGTGATATGAACTGAAAGCATGTCCACTTTGTTTTGCAAATTAATTAACGCTACTAAATACACTATTAGATAAGAGTTCTTATAATAATTATGGAGACTGTTTTAACATTGTCTGTCACTTATTCAATAAAGAGATAGATTGCGAAAAATTATATATTTTTTGTAACATATTTTACGTTGTCGCATTTGTTATTTGAAAAATTGAATGATGTAAAATGTATATTTATTTTACTTTTTTTTTATTACATCTCATACAATTTAGATATCTCCTTAGGTTCAAGAGTTGGAAGCGGCTGTGGAAAGCGATAAAGCGACTCAGAAAGAGATGGCAGCTCGTGCAAAAGAACTAGAAGTTAAAGTCAAAGATATAAAAGGCCATAGAGAACGGTAAGTATAGTTTACATAATCACTATATTCATATTGATGATCTTATAGTGTAAAAAATAGCCTTGGTGTTTTATTGAATACTATAAACTATATACAAATACTATAAAGTGTTTTTTTCGTGTAATTTCAATTGTACATTTTTATACATTCCTTATTTGTTTAAAACATAATGAAGAATGATTTTAGAAATATACTGTATATAGAATAAATACCACTCGAAGCTAATCGCAGATGAGGTGTCGTTACTTCTGCCTTTGTATAGACCAGTCAAGAAATAATATAAATATTTTCTCAAACAGAGAATTCAAAAAGGCAGAAGAGGCTCTAAAGAAAGCTAAAAAGGAGGCTGAACAAAATAGTAACTCTTGGAAACAAAGAGAACAGGAGTTTGAGACCTTACGGCTTGAAGTTATGGAACTCGAACAAGCTGTGCTGGCTAGCAAACAAGCATTACAGGACACAAAAGAAGCCGCATCAGCCCTTCAAGAGACTTTGAAGGTGGCGAAAGAAGAACATTTTAGTGCTATGGTAAGTGAAACGTCATTAAAGAATATAATTATTTTATTACATTCGAAAAGATATTGTACGTCATTTTCATAAAGCACATTTTATATTGAGTGTTATTGTATGTTTCATCCCAAAGTTTACGAAAACAGCCATAAATAAATTTGTAACAAATTTCAGTTTATCGCTATCCACATTTACGATATAAAGAATATAAATTCTGAAAGGGTTTTTTCAAAAATGTGATCGTTTTTATAAGTAGTTTAATTATTGCTATACTACTCGTATATTTGTAATACTGTGTTATGACAAATTGCATTAATTTTTAGGAAAGTGTTAAAGAGATCCAATCTCGCATAAAGAAACAAAAAGCGGAAATAGCGAGTAGGAGTAGCGATATAGCGCGTCTGCATCAAAAGAAGGAACAACTTGCCAAAAATAACAATGAGCTTGAACTCAAGATAAAAGAGTTGGATTACAAGATGAAAGAACTGCAAGCGGAGGCGGTGGAATGCTCTAAAAAGGTCAGTTATTTATGTATTACAAATATTATATTATAGATGTTTATGTTAGCAAGTTATTATGGAAAGTATAATAGTCAGTGCCGAACTGCCCAGGACTTATTATTATATTATAGTTTTTATATCAAACAATATTAACCACGATAATAATTTTGTTTTATATAAAACTAACTTTAAAGAGACAGTGACACAAACATAAATGATGGTATAAAACTACTAAACCCTGTGAGAGTATATAAACATTTGTAAAATCTAGTACTTTTCACATACGCGGTACGCAGTATGCCACAATATGACGACGTTCTTCTTCAAAAATTTATGATCTACATTGGTGTACACTTTTGAAGATAATCTCATTGTACAACAAAAATAAGTATTTCATAAAATAAATATTTACAAAAATTTTTATTTTGTGCCATCAAATTCTGTTACACCTATATAGCCTTTTGTATTTTTCGGATGTTAATATACCATACAATTGTAAATCGGCGTATCTGGTAGATAAAATCGTTGGAAGAGGAGCACACTTGGATCCCATCGGAGAGGGAATACTTTGGGGCTGCCGGGGGTTTGTATGATTTTGCCGCTCGACAAGCGAGCGTCGCCGGACAACGATTGCAGCAGTTAGCTGCTCGACGTGATAAACTAGCTCGCGGTCTTAACGCTAGAGCTCATACACTGCTTGGCAAAGAGGAGGAACAGGTATGTGATGTATTTGATGTTGAATACTGTAAAAGATAAATCTTTACAAAGTGTTTCTTATTGCGTTACATGCATTCGATATCAAAAGTATAACTATCAATGACATAGAATATCTAAATCAAAATGCAAAGTAATACAATTTTGTTGCTTTATCTAAACTGATCCATGAAGAATTCATTGAAGTTATTTTAATTATTTACTAATGTATAACAATTTTGAGTATTATAAACAGCTATAGGAATGTGAATTTATATAATTAATTTAGACGACAATCTGAAACACGGCTCAGATCCCATATTAATAAAACGCATGTGTTATTGTCAGGGTTCGCAAAAATCCGATATTTATAATAAATATCAAAATATCTGATAGTTGATATTTGTCCGATATATATCATGCATATGAAAAGCTGCGATTTTTGACCTGAAAGTTTATTTAATATTTGATCTTTTAAATCGAAAGTGTAAAATGAAAATTGAGTTTGAGTTAAGAAGTAGTATGCGAGCGAGGATTTTCAGTAACGTATAGGGGAAAACCCGCTATTTCTAGTAAGTAAGATAGCTACATCGGGCCAATGTTGCCAGCGTCCAATCGGGTTGGTTAACTTTCTAGCTGATACATATTGATATATATTGATATATATTGATCTATATATCGGTTGATATTTATCAGCGTGCCCTGGCTGGTTATGGGAATCAAATAGTTAAGATTCACTGCATATACATATTTGATGATATCCATTATGTTTAAAGTATCAAGACGTGATGCGTAAAAAGAAGATAGTGGAAGCTGACCGCGCGAAATTAGTTCAAGTGATGGCTGAATTGGACGAGAAGAAGAAAAAGACGCTAGTGGCGGCTTGTGAACAAGTGAACAAAGACTTTGGTTCTATATTCAGTACTCTTCTGCCAGGTGCTCAGGCTAAATTACGGCCTCCACCGGGTCTTACCGTTTTAGACGGCCTTGAGGTAACTATAAATCAATTCACTTTATATTTATTGAAAAATATATATATATATATACTTATGAAATTTAAAACTATTTGCCAAAATGTCATTTTATTTATGTTAATTTATATTGCTATTTGCCCAACAGGTGAAAGTGGGTTTTAACAACACTTGGAAGGAATCATTGGGCGAATTAAGCGGTGGGCAGCGTTCGCTAGTGGCTTTATCTCTCGTATTAGCCATGCTTTTGTTCAAGCCGGCACCACTGTATATTTTAGACGAGGTGGATGCCGCATTAGATTTGTCCCATACGCAAAATATTGGATTAATGCTGCGGGATCATTTCAAGCATTCTCAGGTGAAGTTATCTTCACTCTTTTTCTTATTAATTACTTGTCACTTTAACAAAGTACTTAAATATATGAGACGTTTAATAATAATGTTTTAAGAAAATTCATTATTCCCTATTTTACAGTAAAATAATACTGTATGGAAAAAGATTAATAGTAGAGATGCGCCGAATAGTGGTTTCACCGAATAAATGAAAACTATTCGGTTTAACGATTACCGAATTTGATATTTAGTCGAGTTATTCGGTTTAACCATTTCGTTGTTTTGCCGTGTAAACTGCTTTGAAAATTAATATCGATTTGAAGTTTAACTGCTTTATTTTATTAGTTTTATTGACCACATTCTTTATTGGGTTTCTTTGATTTACATCATAACATAGATCTTACATAAAAAGTTTTGCATTTAAGTTCAATACCGTGTCATGTAGCCTAGAAAATAGAGACACTCGAACCGAATATATTCGGCGACCAAAACGAATAATTCGGCCGAAAACAAATAGTGAAAAAGATACAGATACGCCGATTACCGAATACAAAACGAATATTCGGCGCATCTCTAATTAATAAATTACATTAAAACAAAAAGAAACACAGTTTACTCTCGTTAAATAATACTCAATGCCACAGTATTATGTTAATATCAATTCAAGTAACCGCATTAGAAACATATTTGAATAATTCATTTCCATTTGAATGATACAGAAATGATAAACACAGGAATATGTACCGTATTATCTAACGCTGTTTTTGTTTTTCAGTTCATTATTGTGTCGCTGAAGGACGGTATGTTTAACAATGCGAACGTACTGTTTCGTACTAAGTTTGTAGACGGTATGTCTTCCGTGCAACGAACTGCCAATCACCGCCGATGACTTCTAACACAGTGAAGGTTAAATATTATTTACTTTTAAAGTATGCAGACCAAGTCAAATATCTTTGAATAAGTAACGAAATTACCGAATAGGATAGTTGATTGTGGTAAATTGTTGTAAAAGTCGAAAATGCAATGGGATTAACGGCGCCGAGATTAACTCCAAATGTAGCCAGCCATACCTTTTTGTCCGAAAATGATCTTTATTACAAGGCTACAGAGTACCCACGGGTTACTTGTATTTGTTGAGTGCTGCAAAGTACATTTTGTATTTGCAGGTGTAATTATTTTTGTGATTTCAAAAGCAATGAAATGAATTATATAGGGTTAAGCACGTTCGTATACGTCAATACAAAATAATATTACAGCATACTGTAAATAAGAAAGTTTTGGTGCTAGTAATGAAGTTTAATGTTGAGGTAAACAAAAATATGACTTGTATACATGCACCATTAATATTCTAATTTTCGATTTTTATTGTTTCATGTATTTTTGGAATAGTTTGGAAAAGATCTCTCTTTTTTGGGCATAGTTTCATATAGTATATGTTAATGCAGAATAAGAGACAAACGTCTATCAGCCATTTGCACAAATGTCCATTACAATTAAAATTATAATAAATTAAAATTTTCATTAGTTTAAAGCGACATTACCCATACAAGTTTGACATTCATTAGAGCTTAAACGCGTCATTAAACCTTAATGGACGTTTGTGCAACAGACTATATGTTTGATAAATTAATAACCAGTGATTGATTCAATAATATTTCTTTCTTTCAATGTATCAGAGATATTTATAACAGAATTTTCCTGTTGGTTTTCTTCGTCTTACAGTCTAATAGTTTTTATAGCTCCAAACCATTGAAATATTATGATTACCGATGCCAACATAATTTTGTTCAGAAAATGTTTCCTTCTGACAATAATCGCAAACGAAACGAAATTTCTTTAGACTATTTATGCGCGCTGCAGCAGGTCAACCAATATCATTCCATTAGTATAAAATTTCTAGAAATTGATCGTTGTCTGGTCGTAACTAAGAATTTGCGGAATAACACTCGCAAATCGCATTCGTTATGAAGAGATAACAGCCTGAATGGAAGTGTATATGTAAAAAGCACAAGATTCGTGCTCTGTTGGTTCAGACATGTGTAAAGAATGTTGGAGAAAGAATGACAAAACTGTTGTCTGCCGCGAGTGATCCGGCGAGAAAACGAAGATATACTTCTTTTCTGAAACAATATGGTACAAGTTTTTCTTTTTAGTAATTTGTGCCATATCCATCAGTCTTAAGAGTTTTATTTCTTCAAAGGAAATAATTTAGGTGTTCGCCTAGATAAGGTGGATTAACGGCGCAGCGTCCGTATAAAAAGTCAAATCTTTAGTCATCTGGTATTTTTCTGGGCGTGCGGCGTATTTGCCTACTTTCAGTGATTAGTGAGATTCGACGCGTTTCATACAACTCATTATAAAATTAGATTTTTGGGCTCATTCGGCGCGTTTGATGAAGATAGTCGGCGTGCACTAGAAAATAATATAATACGTATTTTTTTTTGTAACCCATGATTATAAATATTTTATTTTCTTAACAAAGATAATAAAATGAGACTATTTGTAAATATTTTTCTAAGTACTTTTGGTCGTGCATATTTTAAGGCTGCACTTTAATAGATTTAAGGTTTGTTTAAATAAAAGTATAATATTTTTGAATAAATATAGTTTAATTTTTTCACCTCATTTTCTAATAGTATGAGTTTTCCTTCGATAAATAATTTTATCACATGAGTTCCCCACCAAGCTGATCTGGGTAGGCGTGGTGGGTTGCGCTTTCTTATAACGTAATATGGCATTTTTTTACACAAAAATACTTTTAATTAATTAGTTAAGTACAAAATAATCACGAGTTTGTGGTGTAAACGTCAAAGTAACATTTTGTCTCTTAATATTTGTTTCTGCACATTATACGAAAGGATCAAAAGCAACTGAAAATGTTACAACATTCTGACAGGGCTGTTTAAATTTGTAAACAAAGTGAAGGTAGCGCAAAAGTTGGTGAAGGAATATACAAATTGAATGTTTTAGAGGCTCTTAAATCAGTTGTCATGTTGAACGGTCCAAATTTTTATCATTCAATGTTGGCTGCGACATATTCACATGATTTTCTTAAAAAAGTATTTTGTAATAGAGTTCACAGCAGCGCTACAAAAATTACTAATGAAAATAAAGTATAAATTGCTATATGTATCTCATGTTCTGTTTCGAAGATTCTTTTATATGCTGTTTTTATATTACAAACTAGTGGCCGCCAGCAATTTTGTCCGCGTTTTCCATTATTTCTTCGACTAATATATTTCTATACCGATTTCTATGATTCTTTTTTATGGAATACTAAATACTGTTAACTTTTTTAATTAGGGATGACTGAGAGTATTATAAACGTAAGAGTAGACAATAGACAAATACAATCAGAAAGCTTCGAACTGCTGAGTTATCGGGAGTTACACGTGTCATTGCGAGTCAACCATAAAAGATAGACGTATGCTGTCGTGGGATACTTTTTATATAATTTTAAGGCGAACATTTCCGTCATACATGATTTCTGGGTAGCTTTAACCATTAAGGTTGCACACGCAACGGAAGCTTAAAAAATGGAGTAACTTCTCCCGTTTTCCCAACATTTCCCTTCACTGCTCTGCTCCTATTGATTGTAGCGTGACGAAAAGTATACTATAACCAGCTCAGGAGTATGAAAAATAATTGTACCAAGTTTCGTTAAAATCCGTCGAGTAGTTTTTGTTTCTATAACGGTTATACATACAGACAGACAGACAAAAATTTTACTGATTGCATTTTTGGCATCAGTATCGATCCCTAATCACCCCCTGATAGTTATTTTGGAAATATATTTCATGTACAGAATTGACTTCTCTACAGATTTATTATAAGTATAGAAGATATATGAAGTAATATTTTAAATTTAAGTAGAATTGTTGTGAATGTTGGAAGAATATAATCTTAGATGATATTTTTCTATAAAATTATGTGCCTGATCAGGTATGAATCAAAAATATAGTCATTATATCCGAAGATCAAGCAGTTATAACCTCACCAACAGGAGATCAACATTTGTATTCATGAGGTAGCGCCGCGTCCATACAGCAATTCATCGCGAGTGAAAATTCCATTACGTTGGCACTATAAACATGCGTTATGCCCACCTGGTTCACGGCGAAATAAAACTTTTTACTATCCTAAGCTAACTCTAATGTCTGGTGTCTGGTATTGATCCCTCCTGCGAATTTGGAGCCGTTTTATTGGTCAAGTAATGAAACTTGCCGTGCTTTTAGTGGTTGTAAGTTTTCATATCGGAGTACCTGCCTACATAAGTACATATTTACTTTCGTCTTGCAATAGAAAGTCGTCATTATATAGAAATGGACTCCGGAGAAATGGGTATCGGTGAATATTTAAATGAGCTACTTTTAGCTTCAAATTAGCATATTCATCATCAGCATCAGGCTTAAGTACTGCTGGGGCATGTTAAGATAGATTGACAGATTGGGAATGCGGGAAACCAGAAGCAATATGCTGAACTACTCTAAAAATCGAGACTTAATAAAAGATTTGAAGACAAAAATGAGAGGATTTTCTATTTGTTCAGATGTATCTAAAGCAGGATATGAATTTGCATACACGTAAAATAGAACGTCCCACGAAGGATAGTTAGTCGTTGTCACGTTTGCAGTCGTTAGCTACAGATACAGCTAGCACCGACGTCTGAAATGCTCTTCTATAAAGGATAGAAAAAAATTAAAAGTGCTTACTACCATACTACTGTGCCATTGAGCTCCATTGTCTATTATAGGAGTTGATAAGCTTTTGACTCCCAGGAATCGCCGAACTCCCAGGATCCAAACTAACTAATTGAATCCCTCCCCCAAAAAGATACTAATAAAATTCGTTGTTGAATAAAATAAGGTTTTATAAAATAAAAGGTTACGAATGAAATATCTCTTTAATATTAACGTGATGATAGTTTATTCAATTTTGACGTAATTTTGGACATTTTAACCTTTATCGTCACGTCTTTGAGCCACTATAGCGTAAATCTTGTCGCAAACCCCCTACCGTTGAATTACACCTCCCTGTGGGTGTGCGTATCCCACTGAAAAACCCTGGTCTATTTTATCTTCCTTAAAACTAAGCATTATTAATGCAAAGCTATGGATTAATACTTCAATACGCAGAGTCAATGTCCCTCACGTTATGCTGACGTAATCATATAAATGAGGATTTGCTGAACACTACCTACTTGGCAAGATGCGAGTACAATTTATTGCTGAGGCGATACGGGCGCACCGGACACCAGGACGATATGCTTGGACCGAAACAAATTACCCATACAATTAAATCTTTATTCGTTTTATTTGTTGCAGTGTAACTAATATTTTATTTTATTACATTTTAAAATATCATACTAAAACATAAAATAAGAATAAAAATTTAAGTGGCAATTAGTAAGTAGAAATTTTATTTTTTCTTTCAATTCATTAACTTTGGAGTTTGGAGGTTGGATGTACTAATTTTACAGTATAGAACTTCATATTGTTGATCCCAACGATATGAAGTTCTAAATTATTAAATTGTAATACCTTATTAAACTGCTCAAAGTTCATAAACATAACACTTTACGGTCAATTGAGTTTAGGGTTACCAAATGAAAAAATCAAGTCCGTAGAAAAGGTCCGATTTCCATTGAAAAATCCAGAGATTTTGTTGCAGTTTGAGAATTTCCTTTCAAACGTACTTAAAATTTAATATACTGTGGATCTTGGGGGATCTCGTTCACTTAATGCACATCGCACTCATAGCGGGCGGGCACTCAATTATTACCAAAATTAGTAGGAAAGTTGTACAACTTTAAAATGTACTAGGCACGTTTGATTAAAAATTCTAAAAATTCTGAGATCTTAAGAAAAGTCCGAAAATCCTGACAGGACAAATCCTCAGTTATGTTGCCTTGTTACATTGCACTTGCACCACAGAATTGCACAAACGTCAATGAAGGTTTAATCTGCACCTCACCGCCACTGATACCTTGATATATATTATATCGATTGTACTTTTACATATGCTAATGGAAAGAAATGTTGCTTGTCAGATCGTTCTCATCACTAAAATACATTAACTAGTGACCATTAAGTTCAAAATATTCTTATGAAATATATAAAAGCTCAGTGTCCGATGGGTCTCGAAGGACAGTAAGTTTGATTGATGTCCCCTTGTACCCTCTATCTAGAGCGGCCGGTTTACCTAAGTATAATTTCACGAATTCAGGAATTTTTCGAGAGCATTATGTCCAGCTGATTTATTGGCGGGCAGGTATCTCTTGGGGACATACAGGTTCGTTTTTATTTTTGCGCGAAAGGCATACATAGATAAGTTATTATCTTTAATTGCATGCCGTGTATAAATAATTTCTGAGAAAATATAATTCATTAATAACTCGTAACTGTATAGTGTATTAAATACTAAAACACGGAATCGGTATTTAACTGGTTTCTAATTCGAGTTTCGTTATTCTTCTTCTCTCAGGCTAATATTACTGGATAAAGGCCTTCGCTATTGCGAATTGGTGGGATTGCAGGGAAAATACAATATAACGTACTTGCAGAAGCATAGAATGTCTTCAGATAGTAAATTTTTGGTCACCCATATACCGGCACTTGGAAAGGCTGCTTAACCTCCTCCTCGCAGACCAAATACACTAACGACTGAATGTTCATTCATATAGTTAATATTCGATTTGAAGGTAATGTCGATTTAGCATTTAGGCTATAATACACTTATTTTGAGGAATAAGATAAGCTATGACAATAAAAAGCAGCAAAAAAGAACAAAAGTTATAATACAAAAGTTAAGTGAAGAACGTTTGAAAAAATTCAAGCTCAATTTAAAAACTTACTTGTGGGGGATAGGGAGGGGATTTGCGTAATGGTCGAGAGTTTAGCAAGTGTAAGCAAAGCTCTCATCCGACAAAGGACACGACGAAATAAAGTAATCAACCGGTTACAACTGAATTTGCATTAATGTGGTTTTGTGTAGAGGTTTTCGCTGGCTTTTATGGACTTTGTAGGGTCTTAGAAGAAGTCAAAAGTAAAAAATGGCTAAGTACGGTGGTTCTTTATTTATATCACTTTTGTGTAATATTTTATTTAGTGTCTTTCCGATTTTCTTAGAAATTCAGAATTATTAAATAAGATTAGATAAGATGGACTGTCGCTGGTTAGCTATAAAATGCTAGAAAATCTTGACAATGATCGTGATTAGTGGCAAATCAGTATAATGTGTTTGTTTAAATCCAGTTTGTGGACGTTGACATTTAAATTGATTTCACGGCGTCGCCAAATTCGATGATCACAGAGGTAGGTATACTATTATTTCAGATGTGGAATCTATTATCGGCTGTCCGTTAATGGGAATTGTGTTATAATGGGATGTTCATTTACTGCGAACAGTTGTCTAACGCATCAATGGTTTCTCGATTGAATTAGGTACAATTCCTGTTAGTTTCCATGTTGGTAATGGATTTGCTGTTATTAACTATTGCTCGTTTTAGTTGCGTAGGCTAATTGTAGTACACTCTCTATACAAATATATCTAACCAAAACTTAACAAAGTAACTACGCCATTCACTAAAATTCTGTT